AGCCAAAATACTCAGAGGAGGGACTTGATTCTTCAAAGCTGGCATTTCTGGTTTCTTGGTGCCATCATACCGCATAATGTCAAGTTCATATTGGATTGGTCTAGACATCTCTGCCTTGTTGAGGCGTCTTATTTCTTGGGCTTGTTGGTGCTCATTTGTGTCTGGTTGAGTCAACAGGACTGCTAGAGAGTGGGTAGACAATTTTCCATTCTGTGATGCAATATCTGCATCAAAGTTGTCTACAACAACCTGGACTAGACCATCTTCGGCCTTCGAAATTGCCGTCAGTTCAGTATTTTTAGATGCTTCTACAGCTGCAGACTTCTTGAACCGTAATAGTTCGTCATACGTGCAGGTCACTCCAAAGTCACCCATAGTCTTTACCAACTCTTTGGAATCTCTTAACAGTACTGCCAAACTGATCTGTAACTGGGTTGGGTGATTTGTGAGGACAGACGTAATGATATTACCAATAAGCAGGGATGGTAATGTGTTATCTAATTTTGGTGTTAGACGTGCAAGGAGGTCCAGTGCTGCTTACATTCTCAGTGATGATTTCATGATTCAAACGAGTATTGTACGTATTTCTATTGAATCTCATGTCTTTGACTTCTTGAGAAATCTTGTTCTTCACCCTTGCTAGTGCAATATCAGAATCATCGTCTTCTAGATCTTCAATGACACGAAGAGCCTTGCTTGCTCTGCTCTTGAATGCTAAGATGGTCGCAATTCCTGGAGAGGATAGGATTAGAAGGTCATCTTTGAAGTGTTCTGATAGTTTGCTTACTAGAAGTCTGCGAGACACAGTAGAGCCACCATTTTCAATATACATATCGTACAATTCTACTGAGTTCCATATTCTTGACAGGTCTTCCTCCAGTATCCTGATGATACACGCCAAAGCTTGATCTACTTCTTCCAGTTTGGTTTGGTTTACATTCACAGCTGCAGCTACTGATCTTTGGGATGTAAACCTCGTACGGCAGTCAACATGGTAACGAGCATCAGCGGCATGCAAATCACTAACAGCGCCAGCTACTCTGAGCCGGACTTCTGATGCCCATTTGTCATTTCTCTCATCACATTTATGTAGGATTTCTTCTTTCAAAGACTGACCTTGTCCGATCCTTTCAACCTGCCTACAGACAAATGCTGACCTCCATCTGGACGGGTTTTTTTGATCTCTTTCAGTTTTGCAAAGTTCACCGCAGTAGAAGCAGTGCTGTATGAAGTTAAACTGGGGGATCTCAGACCGTCTTGCTCTCTTTGTTGGTATACCCGAGGTACCCTCCCCATCTTGAGATTGCTGGCGTTGTATAGCCCTTTTCACTTGAGTTGGATGACAGTACGTATCAACACATGACCTGTGGGCTCTAAGAACAAGGTTTCTGTTGCTGTCATATCGTGTCTGAAGATCTTCATGAATGTTGTCCTCATATTGTTCACTACATTTAATAATAGTTTCTATACGTTTAGCTGTCACATTGCCTAGGCATTTCGTCTTATTGCCTGCGTCACATTTGAACTTCCAATTAAAGAGACATTCTTCCTCCATTTGGAGATATCAGTCCGTCAAAATCTGTAATAAAAAAGACATTCAGAAATATTATGTTGAAGCCTTATCAAAATCATGTGAGCGATGATGAAGAAAATGTATGCGTGCTTCAGATAGTCTTCATTTGCATACTCTCTATTTTCCATAAAAATGTGCTATATGATCATTGTGATATCCTAGCCCACAGGGCTAATTCTTTGACTACTTTAGATACCTGTACTTTGGGTTTATAGTTAGATTTCACACTAAACACAAAACGGACCTGATAAGTTGTCAATTGAAGTTATAATGAGCCATATTTTGTTCGAAACCCTGAGAAAGCTTTCCAACTGAGGTCTATACTTGTAAAGTTTAATTAAGTACAATATGTGATCAAGTAATTTTATACATTTTTTGATAATAAATTACCTTTAGAACCTTGTATCTCAATTCAACAGGGACGGTGTCATTTTCTCTCACTTCTCTGGAACATTACCCGCTTTCCGGAGGTCTGAAAATCGTCAGATCTGAAGGAAAAAGGATGCACATGACACTGGTCATCATCCTGCAAATTACTGTTATAACCTAAAAGTATTGACTTTTATTATAGTTAATTATTCATTCTAGATAAACTATTGTGATATAATTAACTTACCCTTACACTAACGTGCTTGCAAAAATGTACAATATGTGACGAATCATCTCCAACAACTTCAACTGGCTCAGGGACTGAACGTGCTAAATTCATTAAGATTGATTTAAATCGCATTTCCTTTGCTTAATTAAAAGTAACGTTAGTGACACCTTGTAGAACAAAATCACACAAATCCTTTTGAACATGGTTATAGGCCCTCTAAAAGATTATAAATACAAGTACTTAACCAAACAAGCAAATTATTTCTGAATTAGTTTCACACGAAACAAGAATCATGTTTGATCATTAAACAAACTAAATCGAATATCAGAAACAACTTCTAAATTAAATGAAAAAAGTAACAAATTAACTTACCTTGAACCATTCATGTAAAGGAGAAGTGCTTGCGCAGTGTCTATTGCATCGTCATAAGGTGATATATCAGGAGAACATGAAAAGATCAGGCCACTATGAAGAAATCATGTTCTCTGAAAAAAGTCTGCATGGTTCTACAAGTATTCTGATGATGAATTAATACACCCTGATTTTGTTCAATTCTCATGAACTAATGAAAGTGGATGGTTGTTTCATCAATGATGTAGAACATGCGAACTTAGGCGTCGATTATATTGATCATATAGAATTGACATTTACATTTTGTAACTTGATCACTCAAAGGCAGCATGTACATTTCCTTTAAACCATTGACCCAAATAAGTTATTGTTCTCTTGCTGAAATAAACACATAACATTGCAAACAAACTTGTAATATACTTGGTTACAATTAATGCACCCTTTTTTAAAACAAGAGCCGGTCTAAATATAGCTTATCAATGGAACAATAACGTGTGCCGTAAAACTAAATACTTCTCACATATTTGATGAAAAATATATTCTTTTATAGGCCTTTTTGTTTCTTGATATGTATCTAAATTTAGACCCAATTTGTTGCATACATAGCATATAAGATTACATAGCAAATTGTATGTTTTTAACGTGACGTAGATCTAAGAAATTGGCATTTGGCGGGCAGCGTTATTTTTTTATGCGGCACAGATTGGGGCTTTTTTTTAAAAGGGGTCTTGATTTACAGACTAATACTGGTCGTGTGCGTACTAGACAGTATAAGTAGTAGAGGTCAGTTTTTAATAGTGTTATATTTAATCCACTACCGCATGGAAAATCATTACATCAACAATTAAAATCAAATTGGAAATCTGAAGAGGAGGCAGCACGTCAATAAGGAGAACATCACAATAATTAGTCAATAAAACTTAACTAATTTAAACGAAGAGGTATGTTATCTAAACACATAGTTCGCGATGGATATACAAACTTCTTCGCAGCGCTAATGCGCTAGCTATAAACATGACTAGTCTCACGTACGTGCAGACACTATTCAGAAGGGAAAGAACGTACTTCCCATAGGTTTAACACGCGCCATGCCCCAATCTGTGCCGCATAAAAAAATAACGCTGGCGGGCACAAATATTTCATGTAAATTAACACGTTTATAGAGGGCGCTATTTCAGAATATGCAAATTAGCTTGTCATCTATGGCCATGCAACATCACAAAACAATTGTTTAGTGATGGTCCTAGAGAGATGCAGACATTTAGCTGCCCAAATTGTTGAAAAAAAATCCTTATTATATATTTATTATATATTTTTAGAGAAAAATCATGTACTTTGGCGGCCATTTTGTATGACGTCATAACTTAAATTGCTCAAGGCTGACAGAGTGTCAGCAATCGGATTATTCAAATAGAAGGGTTAGGCTATCATAATCCATTGAAAAAAAAACTATAGACCCTAAAACAAGGTTAGGCCAATAATCTGGATTTGGCTGCCGGACTACCCCCCCCCCCCCCCCCCCCCCCCCCAGCTCACAGACATCCAAGTCAAACAAAGCACCTGGAATTCCAATGTCGATTACCGAGGAAAATGTCATTGACCCGAGTGTTGACGAACCAGAAATATTTGAGATTTGTAGGAACGGTCATACAATGAACTGTAAATGTCATAATACATGTTCAATAACATCATAATAATGAACTCGACTATGTGCGTCATTATGACGCGTTTTAACGCGTTTCAGACCAAGGTTTGCCTGGGGAGAATTTTGAGTTTAAAGGGAAATATATATGGTTGATTTGTAATTCGATGTACATATCAAAGTTCATTTGACGCTACAAATAATAATGATAATAGTAGTAATAATAATAATATAACAATAATAACAATGATAATATAATGATGATAAAATAATAATGATGATAATAATATTTATGATAACAGTAATATAATTAATACAAAAAAAAAATTTGTAGCGCCTTTTCTGATATAAATTAGAGTATTATATAATATTCAGATTTGGAACATAGAAATCAGTTGTATTTTATTTCTTCCTCGGTCCGAATGGTTTTTAACTATGGAAAAGTACAACAAACTAAAAGTGGCAGATATATTTAAGCACAAATAAAGGAGTTGGTTTCAGTGTTTTGAAGGGTGTAAGTATTCCTGAGAGATGGAGTCGGGGTCATTACTTATTTTAATTATTTAGTGGACGGTGGAAAGATTGATCTATCATAGGGCGGATGAATTATTCCAATCCATGTTGCACGGGATAATTTGTTCATGTTTTTTAATTGGATTATGCTCATTTGGGCTTTAAATGGTGAGGGGGAGGTACAGTGGCGGATGGGCCCCCTCCCCTGCCGCCGGCTGGATCCGCCCCTCGGGAGGTAAGAGCCAGTTGTAACCCTTATTCAATTCGCCTGTTATAATTAGCTTATATATTACTCCAACTCCATGTTTGAAAACATACTGCTTTTGCACTCTACAATATTTGCACACCTAGCGTTCCATAATTGACGAGATGCGCTCAAAATCTGAACGAAATGGCTGTCAATTTTAGGATTGGAGAGTGTTTTACGACGTATAAAGACCTGGAAGAAAAGATCAAAAGATTTGTTAGGAGCTCATGGTCTCCACTTTACATCAGAGAATCAAGAAAGATCACATGTACTCGTCGGGCTCCTAATAAAGTCGTGAACGAGAGCCTGGTTTACGGCGATTTGAGGGTAAGTTCATGGGCACCGCACGTTGATGGATGCCCCTATCTCCAAAATGTATGTTGAGAACATACATGTAGGTGTACATCATGTACTGGTACGTATATGTAGACCTACATACATGTACATGTAGCGCACCGCGCTGCATTGTATTTCGCAGTGACAGGTGCAGGTGCATACATGTACTGTATGTAAACCGACCGGAGACTGAGTACGTGTACATAATGTTCTAGCCTAGATGATAATTGATAATGCACTCAATAGTCTACTGAAGTGCATACTATTCATAACTGACAAACTGATAACCCAAGTCATACAAAATGTTAATTCTAATTCAGTAGGCCCTAATTGAATTAAATTGCTTTTAATTTGAGTCTGTATTAATTTTTGATACTGTCTGACTTCCATATTTTCCCACACATAGCTGCATTAGATCTAACTGTTATACTATCCTGGCTGGCTTAGACAGCAATAACCATCTGATTTGGGTCATTTCTTTAATAAAACTGACATTTGTTGTCATTCCCCAATACAATCTATAATCGGAGGTCTAGTGGAGCAAGACGTAGTCTCAGTGGAACAACCGACGATTAGAGAGACTGAAGCTTTCGGTCTAGGCTGGCTGTGTATCAAAAGCTGTGCTATTGATTCTCAACATTTCAAACACTACTCACTAGCGTACTGTACGAAACTCAACTGATTTCACTCAAAATCGGTACTTGAGTCGAGTCTAACTCTTAAGTTAGCCTAAGTTGAGTAACAATTGATGACACCTAAATTGCAGGTCTCTTTTTTCCCAACCTGAGCAAGTAGACTACAGCGACCCCTCCCTTTAAAAAAGAAAAGAAAAATAGGCCTTTTCAGAAGTTCTTTTATCTTCCTTCATTGTCTTACTATTATTGTTTTTGTTATAGTTTGTCCACAATCTATATGTTTTAACAAGTCATCTTCTAATTTGACAATTCATCATATACCTTTCTAGCTTACTAATCTCCTTTCACAATATACATGTCCTGTGCCAGGCTGCCAGCAAGCTTAATTGCTCGCTTTCTGTATTTCAAATGATATCAGCCAGGAAGCTATTATGTCTTGCTGTATATTGTCAGGTATTACTATTATTATCAATACATAATTCTTAATACAGGCGCGTGCACAGGGGAGGGGGGAGAATTTGTGTTATTTTTTTTTAAAGGAAACCCCCCCCCCCCCCTCCCCTCAAGGGTGACAAAAAAAAAGTGAAAAAGTGACCTTATATAGTTTTAAGCAGGGGATAAACCTCTGTGGTATTTAAGCACCCCCTCTGCAGGTTTATCTTTATACTTGATAGCAATTTATATTGTCTTTTCGTGATCCTGTGGAAATAAATGAAATTGAATTATTGATATCATTATTATTATTAATATTAAAAATATTATGTTAAATTTTATTATCATTATTATTATAATTATTATGTTTATTATAATTCCAATTATAACTATTATCATTATTAATATAATTGGTATTAATATTATGTTTTGATTATTCATCAAAGCGAATGGCAAACTAAGTGGACAAAGACCTTTATCACAGTAATTTTAATAAACGTGTTCAAGTTTCATGTATTTCCATTCCTTTCCTTCATGTTATCACCAATCCCACAGTACCTTTATGGAAATTATTTTCTGTATCATTTTTAATTTCCTGTTTACCAGGCCTGATAATTACCTGATTTAAATCGGTTTGCCCCCTTATTTTCCCTATTTTTTCCCAATTTTCTTACTCAAAAGGGGGGAATGTTCTTTAGATGCAATTTTTTTTCCCTGGATCCTTTTTTTTTACACAAGAGGATGATGGTCGGTGGAAACCCCACCCCTTTCTTTTTTTAGTGCTCACTATCACCCCTGGTTTACTTAATCTCCTAGTATTGCTGCATTCATGGAGGACGAAGTGGAGATGCCCAAAACCGCAAAAGGTAAGCTAGGCTATACAGGGCTATCTTGTACTCTAGTTTACATGGCATATTAGTGTTTTACTGGTTAGTGGTTGTTATTTTTACCTGACTGCTAAGAAAGCATAAATGCTTGTTAGTAAACAACCAGAGGAACGACGGCTTTAGGTCCTCTGCGAAAGACCAGTAATGAAGATTAATGCCTTGCCAAAGGGCACTAGCGCATAGACTTGGTTTCAAACCCAGGTCGCAGGAATACGAGACCACTGCTCTACCAACTGAGCTATCCTTTTAGGATTTTACTTTGGGAATACCGGTATTCTTTTTCGTGATTTTACATGAATTTAGTATTAGTTCTCTCCATGATTCATCAGTCAAAAATACCTGTAAAAAGATTGCCGGTAGGAGAATCTTTATGAATTGAATGCTCTACCCTCCTTTTTGTTTTTTCAATGTGTTATTATTTTGCAACCAGCACATGTGATTTCAATTTTGATTATTGATTATATTTCCTGTAAATAAAAGAGGAGGATCCTCGATATATAAAAGGGCACCTCTTCCAGAGGTTTTCAAAATTGATTTGATTACCGGTAGTAGCTATAAAAATTGACAATACATGTACATGCTGATTGGAATTTAGCAAGTCAGGTCTCTAACCTTCTCTGAAAGGTCTTATTGATTTGTTTTGTTTTATTTTTAGCAGTGAAAAAATACATGGGGGGCTCGGGGCGAATTAGCCCCCAAAATGCCTAAAAGAGCCCTCGAAAATCAGAAAAGAGCCGCTGTAAATTTGCATAGAGTTCAATGCAAAACAAATTTTAGATTGTTATTTTTCATGCAGGCAAGCTTGAAAAGTAGCCCCCGAAAAATAAATATTAATTTTTTCCCTGATTTTCAGCACCCATCAAATGGCATGTCCATTCATGATGACCCTCCGAGCCGATGCAGATGGCCGGTACCTCAGGGTCACCAAAGCCATTCTGGAGCACAACCACCCAGTGTCAAAGGTGAGTCACAAAGGCGAGGTAGAACATCAAGTTCAGTCAGAGAGAAGGAAAAAAATGTAGCATCTTGCACATAATATTTATGATAATGCTGTTTGGCCACAGCAATCAAGACATTTAAAAACATACAAATGTACAAATGAAATTTAAAAAGCAAGTCTAAAACATTAACATATAAATTTAATGGTTATTTAATTAAAATGGCACAGGCCATGTAAATTCGAAAAACTATTAAATATATATAAAATTGTTAAGTCTTTCTTTCTTTCTTCCTGCATGTCTTTCATACCCTAGGAGATATATGACCAGTTACCTCGCAGGTTTCGCATCAGATTCGATCCAGAGGCTCATCCTACACCTGCCTCAAGACATAAGGTTCGCTCAGAATTATTTTAATTTTTAATTATTTTGTTCATTCATTCAAAGCTTAGGGCAAGTCCACTATGCCCCGATAGAGCTCGACACGAACCGGCAACCAGAATGTATGTCTTGACCCAGACCAAGAGAGGCATCATACAGTAGGATGCGGGTCCATCATGTGAGAGAGGGGGAGGATTAAGGACTCAGTAATCTTTCTTTGGGTTGTGTAGTCCTGAAAAGGACTGTTGGTGTAGTCTTGAAAAAGACTGTTGGTTATCTTTTTTAGCGTATAGTTCTAAGGAGAACTATAGCGCTTGGAGAGGATGGGTGGCGGGAGTGGCTTGACGTTTCGAACAGGTTGACTATCCGTCGTCGGGAGTTACTGATGAGCACTCATTTTAAGTTCCAGATTTTGCACTGTATTTCGGATAATTTTCTGTATTAAACTCCAGGCCCTCCAACTCTGGGAACGGAGGGACCGCATGCCTGTTCCAAAAATCTCTGGCTCGTATTAAAGAAAAAGATCTACCCGTATTGACTTTATGCAGGTGTCATTTGTAAGACGCACCTTTTGACCCCCGGGGATGGTGCGTCATGGTTGCGTCATGTTCCCCCAAATCGCGACGCACAGTACCTTCATGGCCGCAAAATGTCCGTCACAATACTGACCCATATGTGCGTCATAGTAAGTCACTTTACCACGTTGCGTCATTTGGTGTGTCAATGGGACCGTCACTTTCTCCAAGCAGAAGTGTTTCTCAAATGTGCGTCATTGGCTAGTCATTTTCATGAAATGGTGTGTCATATGTTTGACTCAAATGTGCGTCGATGGAATGTAATGGTGTGTCACTTTCTGTGACGGAAGGTGCGTCATGGTATCAAAATGTACGACTCACATCGGTACAATGACGCACCATTCCCGGGGGTCAAGAGGTGCATCTTACAAATGACAAGTGCATTACACACTGAAGTTATGTTGAAAAGGGGGGGGGGGGGGTGCTGAAAAGGCTTGTATAACAAAATAAACAGTGTAGTCTTGAAAAAGACTGTTGGTTATCTTTTTTAGCGTATAGTTCTAAGGAGAACTATAGCGCTTGGAGAGGATGGGTGGCGGGAGTGGCTTGACGTTTTATTAAAGGAAAAGATCTACCCGTATTGACTTTACACACCAGACTTATGCTGAAAAGAGGGGGGGGGGGGTGCTGGGAACACGCATATATGCGTACCCTAAATAATACTGAGTGGGGGGTTGGGATTAAACTATTCCTCACATAACAGTTCACAAATTTGTACACCTATCAGGATTTGCCTATTTCATTTTGAAAAACTAGTTTAGTTCGTTCGTTCGTGTCTCCTTAGATCAAGATAGTTATGTAAAGTTCCTTAATTTAAAAGTAAATTAAATTAAATTAAATTAAGTTCTTCCATTGCCCGATTCCTGTGAAGTCATACATCTAGAGAATTAGCTCTTCCATCAATCTTTCCGAAATCTCTTTATCTGATTCGTGTTGAATCTAAAAAACAGATGATGGTTTCGTGATCTTACTTCATAATTCTTGTTCGAGAATATACGAGATGATACGATATATCGGTACTCTTCCCTCTAACTATTCATAAAATAATGATCAAACTTTGAACGTAATTTCTCGTTTAATCTTTCTATTAGAGCTGATTTTCATTTTTTTCATTTTCTCTTTTTCTTTTGTCCCCTCCACGAAATGTTTTTTTAGACAAAGAAGAAGCTGAGTAGGCACCCTTACTCAATGAAACGAGAAGAGGTTGTCAAAGCAGAACAGTCGATATCACCAAAACCAGAAAACAACAATCTTGCAGGTAAAGGCATTCATTTTTTTATCTTTTTCAAGTTTGGGACTTAAAGATAAAGGTGAGTTCTGGTCATCCGATCGCATTGCGAAAGAAAAGATGTGGAATGGATCAGAAAAAGTTGATCATGTAGCATGTAAGTATTGATGAGTACTGCAAAGTTCTGGAGTCATCAAAATCATAATAAATTTGGCCCAGTCTTGGTAAAGTAACAAGCACTATACACAGAAAGATGTATATGGGACTACACAAATGGTGTCAGGCTACTAACCTTGATTTCCTAATCTTTTTATGCTCATTACTCAGCCAGTATACATTTTCTACCAAAATTTTTTGGCAAATGACAGTTATTTTTAATCTTGAACATTCAGTGTAAGTTTCGTTTGATTGTGTGAGAATTCATTTTTTGTCACCTTTATCTTTAATGATGATTTCTACTTTGGCTCATAGTAAAGGGTACCAATAACCTACAAGATCATTTGTGAACAGCTTGAATGGATAATGGAGGTGTCGTGGTGTTGTGGAAACCATTACGAATTGGTCAAAGAAAGGAAGAAAAGCCTCTCTTTGTCCCAAAATATTAGAAATTGTTTCAGAATTAATGTGATTTGAAACTTACAACAACAAAAATACACGGGGGGCTCAGGGCGAATTTGCCCCCGAAATGCCCAAAAGAGCCCCCCGAAATTTTTTTTTTTTTTTTTTCCTTGATTTTTACATAATTATGCTGTCTATCTTTTATCCTGCAGCTAACTCCATTCACATGAACAATCACGGACTACCCAACCACGTTGTCCTAGACACCATCTCTGAAGCACCACGTTTCCAGGTTCCCGCATCATCAACCGAATGCCACAACTCCTGGAGCGATGACCTCGAGGGAATGCTTCCCCCAAAGAAACGGCGGTCCAGCATTTCAAACGAGGACTTACATGACACCCTCGTGTCTCAAGCGCAGAGGCAAGTGGAGCGCGAGAAGGACTCGGGCGAAGTCCGCGGGGCGCTGCTCTCGTACCTCCGGAGGCACAATGAACAGGATGAGGAGGACAGATTTTTCTTGAGCATGGCTGCCGTCGTCAGGACACTGCCAACGGATGTCCGAGCAACTCTGAAGTTTCGCATCCATCACATGATATTCGATGCGCAGATGGATAACATGTCACAGACCTCATAGCAGGAATCAGTAGGGATTAGTGTTGTACCCATCGCTGGAAGGTTTTTTTCAAATGTGGTATCAACTTGCAGATATCATTAAATGGATATTACTGGAGCGGGTTTGTTGTACAACTCATTTTGTTCAGAGATTTTCTTTCTTCTTTTACCCAAAATTCTTCCTTTTTTTGTTCACTTTGTTTATTTTATTTTACCTATTGTCATTAGGCCATGGCAAAGATGGGAATATTTATCAGTCTTCATTTAGTTGCTGTGAATTGCCAAATTAGACCTTTAATTAGAAGATATTTAATTTGAAGTTATGTACATTATATTTTTCTTACTTCCAGTTTGTTCAAAAAATTGTCTTGAGCAAATATCTTCATGAAATATGTTCAATGATGTGCAGAGTGGTTAATTTATTTGCAATAGTATGACTATGTAATGTATTGTATCGTGCAATACCACACATAAATGAAGTCAGGAGAACAAAATATAAATATTTTGATTGCTTTAAGATAATCAGTTACTAATAAGACCAAGTGATATCTCTTGGAAAATATAATTCTTCATTTATTTTGAATTTCAAAGGAGTTGTTAGCTATTTGTAACCAGAGGTTACCCACATGTAATATTACATACCGGTACTAGCCTAGAAAGGGTTGTCTGTATGAAGTCAGTTTCAAACTGACATATTTTTTTTTGGGGGGGGGGGGGATGGGGGCCATATTTTGGAGAGATTTTCATATTATGGTCTAAAATTAACTGGTATCTCTTAGAAAAAAAAACATTCTAAGCCCTGGAAAGATCATGGAATTTCATATTTTACAAATATTTGCATTTTCCTCAGATGATAATATCCAAGGCATTCTACCTCCTCAAATACATATTCTTGTGATGCATAACACTGCCATGTTTCATTTAACCCATTCAATATGAGAACCTTAAAAAGGCTTTCAATCATCTTTTCTTCTTTAAATTGGTAATTTTTCTTTTAAAAGTATGTTTTATGTTGTCATAAAATGTGTTATATGAAGAAAAAAAAACACAGGGACTTCAATATTATATTGTATGAAAATAGCTGAATTATGTGATAAAAAAAACTGATTTTCAACTTGTACATGTATGTTGCCAATTTGATCATTTGATGATGAGCGTGTTTTGAATTTTGTCTTTAAAAAAAAAAATCCGGGTATCGATCAATAAATATATTTTGATGCATTAGAAATAGGTATATATTATATACCGATAGCAATATGTGCTATTTCTGCCTTGAAAGGGTTGATTATTGAATCATTAAACTACTGGTTCTCGGTAGGCAATATCCTTGAGGCTAGTTCAGATGTATATATAACGCAGCAAAACCACAGGTCTTGTTTATGATGACATAAAGTGTTCTACACGTTTACCACACCACATCTAAACGAGTCTTTAAAGAGAAGGTTGAGTTCTGGGAAGAGGTGAAAAATAATTTATGAGCGTTATTATTGTTATTATGCAAGGGTGGAAGAAGATCAGATAAAACATTTTCCCTAAAAAGCATGGCTCTTCACATGCCTTCATATTCAAAATATGGCATGTAACATCGTAAAAACCGGGACGGATTTTTAAGCCACGTGTTCGTGTAGTCCCATATACATCCTTCTGTGTACAGTGCTTGTAACTTTACCAAGACTTAGCCAAATTTCTTATCATTTTGATGATTCTGGAACCTTGCAATACACATGCTTCTATGCTAGATGATCAACCTTTTCTGATTGATTCCACACCGTTTCTTTCACAATGCAATCGCATGACCAGAACTCAACTTTATCTTTAACGTATTGTTCATTGCAAACATCATTTATCGTTTTAGATAGAGGTGATGTGCTGTATTAAGAGACCAAGTCAATGTATAGTTTATACTTTATTCATCTTCTGGTCTAGGAATAAGTCCAAGGACCTGGACCTAGACAACGTCTTGTCTCCAAATCTTTGTCTTAAATTTGAGGTTTAGGCTTCATGATTGTGTGTACATAGCAATTTGCAGCTGTTGATGTACAGAGAACACTGCAGAATACGGTGTTAATTTATATTGTTTTTGCTATGTATATTGTATGTTGTCTATGTCTGTGGAAGGTCAATTTCTCTCTGTTTTCCATTTGAATTACCATATTTGTTTGTATTTGATTTGCTTTAATAGTGTTTAAATCAAGATTGAAGCTTAAAGCTTTATATATTTTCAGTTTCCAGGCTAGAAATACATGAAAAACACTGACATGTAATGTTCATATATATTTAAAATAGGTAAATGAATAGATCAAAATACTTCTCCAAAATCATGTTTAGAGGAAAAGAATTTCATAGATGATGAATCTAAAATAAATTTTAAGAAAAAAGCTGAATAGTGCATTAACAGAAAACACATGTCCATAAATGTCCACTAATAGAACATAGTACAGCATAGTTTTGATAAAGCCCTTAGAGTAGTTTGTATTAAAGCGTATCTGCCATAGTTTACAGGAGGGATTAGACTGCCCTGCAAGGTCACTGGACAGGTGGTTATCTCATCAACTCAGCTCTCAGTTAACATAAGAAAAAGAGGATAATGGGGGACCAATGGTCACCGATTAGGCATTGTTTGTTATATAGAGGGCGCAAGTAGCTACAAGTAGTGCAGTGGGCCTTTAAGCGTTGTGTATATCTAGATTTTTATTGATCATAGAGATCTATTTTTGTTACACTGTACCTCCCTCCTCACTTTCTTTCTCTCTCTTTCTCTTTCTCTCTCTTTCTCTTTCTCTCTCTTTCTCTTTCTCTCTCTCTCTCTCTTTCTCTCTCTTTCTCTTTCTCTTTCTCTTTCTCTTTGTTTCTCTCTTTTCCCCCTCTCTCTCTATATCATTCTACCTGTCCTTTTTACTTCCACTGACATTGCCACCCCCTCCTCTCTTCTCTACATGCATTATATAGTTGTGTAAATATACAAGTATTATGGTTTGCAAGAACAATCGATTTGTAATTCACTGCCAATTTGTAGAGAGTAAAAACTTGATATTCACAGGAACACTTTTTCTGGCCCTTATAAACCCATGTATCAAGCCTCGTTCAGATATCACATGGAAAAACTGTGACTATTTTTAATGATGACGTAAATAATACTGATAATAATAATTTGTTCTTTCATAGCGCATTTCATGTCTGTTGACAAAAAAATGAAGAGAGTAAACAGATGCATATATATAAAGCAATTAAAAGTGTAATACCCTCCAAATTTCTGTATCTTATAAAACAGAGCTCAGTGTATATGCACAGGACCTTTGTTGCATGCAGTTGCCATTAACAAAAAATATGGTGGTTCTTGGGGAAAACTTCTGTCAGCAGGACCAGATCAGTGTCGTGTGTTTGTAGAAGAAGAAGTAGCTCGTTTTGTTTGATATTGAAAATACAATCATTCCAAATGAAGGTTTTAGTGGATTTTGGTTTCCCCATATAGGAGTAAAAAAAGGAGTTTTAAAAAAAATGATAGAATTAACCAAATCCATATTTTCATAATAATTAGGCTCAATACATGGACCGCCTATGGCAGTGAGAGAATTTAGTTGTCATTAGGTTGAGTGATTTAAAGGTCAAATGTTAAATATTTATTATTGTATCTTACTGATAATTACAAGAGTAAAATTATCGCTGATGTTGATCATCAATACCAAGCCAGAGTTCATCTAAATTTAGCTTTAAATACAGCCAGAGCCTTGTTCAGCTTTGCAACGGTAAACCGCTCATTTTGTTTAATTATATTTTTCATTTTTAGATGATGTAAATATAGTAATACCTTTCACATTACTCTATCTTATTATACAAAGCTGAGTGTATACCTATAGAACCTATTTTGCGTGCACTTGCCATTTATTTACATGTTACAAACACTGCAGCTTTATGTTTTTGTTTTTTGTTTTTTTACCCTGTCATATCTGAACGAGTCTTAAAAGGTTAAAAAGCTTTTATTATTTTCAAAGTAAATACACTTTGGTGCTCTCTAAGATGTAATAAAATATGAAAACAGAAACACTGTTTTTTCTTCATTCCAACTGGTTTTATTGAGTTGAAGTCTAATTCATTTTCCAATAAATAGACGTAGGCATACATGTAGTTTAACAATGGCACCTCAGGTCTACAGTTATCACTATTTTATTTCTTTTTGTTTCCTCCTACCACTCTAGAAAGTTTCAAATTTTCTCAATGAAGGGGTTGCTACGTCAGGCATTGCCTATAATAGGTTTTACCATAGTGTATTTAAGAGAGGTAGTTGCAACACGTGCACACATCTGCGATCAAATTTCAATTCAGAGAGCTCCTAATAGTTCTTTCCCAAATAAAATCCCCAGGGACAGGAACTATTTGGCACTTCATGAATTGACATTTTATCGCGTATGTGTGCGTGTGTCGCAACTATCTATCTCATTGATATGGGTTTACATATGGCAACGGAAGATGATGACATGAGCAAGTACATGTGTGTATGTCTAAGCCTATGCTTACTAGGCTAGTCCTTTCTACAATATATATGCAGAACAAAGAGAATAAGAGATACATACATACATACGACATTTAAATTTAGCTTGAACTTCCAATGATATTTCGACATGTATGATATTGATGGAAAATCCAACAACTCCATTTCTCAGGAATTCAAAAAGCAAAAAAACGAAAAGCATTAGGGCCCTTTTTAGGTACCACTATATGCTGTTGAAAGAAAAAATGGGGAAACAGCAAAACCTCTGTCAAATCTGACCATCCTCACCATGGAAACCTAACAAACGAAAACAGATATCAGATTGCTTGTTTACGCTATTTGTTACAATTTTCATTTAATCAATTTATTTTTTTAATTCAATTATTTTCTTCTTTTTTCCTTCTTTTTTTTTGGGGGGGGGGGGGGAGGGGTGAGGGGGCTGCTCAAACTGAGAAATATGATCGAGGGCCCCGCCAATGTAAAGCCTCAACCTATTTGTATAGTTATTTATCCTTTTTGATATTAATTAATGCCCCTATTTCTTTCTTTTTTTTTGCAAAATACTTCGTGGTGAAACATTAGGGGGAATGGTTGACTATACCTCTTTGTAATTAATTTCTCTCTATCGTGCATTTAACATAAACAAAATAAAGAGAGCCGACAGTACATCTTTGCACTAACCGTTTGCCTCTTCTTCTTTTTTCTATTAAAAAAAAAGTAATCATAAACGTGACTTATTAAAGGGAATTTCGCTTGGTGAATATCACTGATAGTGAACTTAAGGAACTACAAACGGGCTAAACCAAATGTCAAATTTAAAAGCAAGTTAATCTGGCTTACTTCCGGTAGTACGCAAACTGCTGAGTGAAGAAAAGGAGCTCGAAAAGTGACGTTTGCCATAGTACATGAACACATGATTCTTTTCTCTTGACATATCCAGAGGCGACGCTCCCAGGGGGGGGGGGGGGGACAGTGACCCAACTTTTGCAAGTAGGCCTATCCCAAAAGTGCCGCTTTTACGTCGGAAAGTGCCCCTTTTCTTCAGATAAGTTCCCCCATTTCTTTCCAAATAAATACTAGTTTCACATTATTATAAGAGCCCCTTACCACCCTCTGATAGGTGCCCTCTTGTTGTTTACACATGCCCTTTTTCATCTTTGGTTAGTTCCCCTTTATTTCAGGTTCGAGAAGTGCCCCTTTTTACCTTTGATAATGCTTTTTTCCCTTTTTAAAAAAGTTTTACACATGCTCCTTTCCTTTTCTAATAAATGTCATTTCCCTTCTGATAAATCCCTTTCCTTTCTCCATAACATGTTCCCCTATTTTAAAACGACTACGAGTAAGGTCTACACTCGCTCGTCTTTATATTTAGTATAAGGTCTTTTCAGACTTCAGTAGCGGATCCAGTAATATCTTACCGGGGGAGGGGGGGGGCACACAATCACATGGGGTGAAATATATCAAAAACGATGGAGCGAAGCGAGAGAGCGAGGCGTCAGCGGCGAGGGAGCGGGGCGACCGAGCGGGGGTGGGTGAGGAAGAGGATCGATCAGAACACCCTCCTATAGAGGCCTAGAGTAAAGCATTTGCAATTTTAGCCGGAACCACATTAAGCGCATTTTCAGGCACTTCCTGGAGTAATATGGCGTAAATTTGATTTCTCCTACCCCTTCCAATTAAGAGTAGGGATCTTTTGCAATTTGAGAACCACATTCGGTGCATTAATGTCCACCGGCACTTCCTGAAAAAAACCGAAGCCTTCTGATTGGTTAGAAGTTAGAGAAAACGTCGCGAGACGTTGTATATGCTTTGTTGCTGCACAATGCACAAAGACGGTGGTCTAGTATAGTACTTGCAAAATGATCTCGAGTGTATAAACGGTATTGTTATCAGGGGCGTCGCTAGACCTTTTTCAGTAGGGGGGGGGGGAGGTGTAGAGGCCACCGATTACCGACAAAAGTATGCCAATGTCCCAATGTCTAAAAAATATATTATATTATATTATATTTGATACTTCATTAAATTATTAGAGAGAGAAGACGATGCGTTGTACCGTTCTCGACTCTCAATCCTTGTCTGAATGAAGTTTCCCCCCTTTCCGCGCAAAGCGCGGAAGCTTTGACGTTATATTAATCCTTGTCTGAATTCATTTTTCGAACATCCCGCGAAGCGGGACCCCATTTTATGGACACTGAAAAATTGCGTCCCCCACCCTTTTCACAGTAAAAAAAAACACATCTTCTTATAATATTCTTTTCCCTTCTCATTATTTTCCTTTCCCCCCTTCTTTTCTTTCCTCCGTCTTTCCCCCTTTCTTCCTTTCCGCCTTTTCTCTCCTCTCTCTCTTTTCCCCTTTCTTCCTTTCCCCTCCTTTTCTCTTCTCCCCTTTTCTTTCCTCCCTCTTTTCTTCTTCTTTTCTCTTCCCTTTTCTTTCTTTTTACCCTCCTTTTTTTTTTACCGGGGGGTCGTGTGCCCCCTGTGCCCCCTGAATCCGCCACTGACGTATTAAGTTTATTCAATATTTTTTAGTCCGAATGCTCATACGGGATAGACTGAAGTTTTGGGGAAGTTATTATGAGTGACACTAGAGTGAGATGCAGTGATACAGATTGGTGTGAAATGTGCAGGGGGTGGGGGGGGGGGGGAGGGTGGGGGGGGGGGGGGGGGTGATATAATATATGGAGAGAAAGCCGGAAAGAGACAAGCGAAACTCCATAAATCAAATAAAGTCAGGTAACTATAATAAGAAACTCGATCCAACTAGCGCTAGCCGCTATCCATTGTTTTGTTTCATATCAAAATTATATTTGCTGATGAATTAGGGAAGGGATATAAAGCACAATATGTCAATAGACTTCTTGCTCAAAAGAGTGAAATGTGGAGCTATGAAGGCGGGGGAGAGGGGCATGCACTTATCAACATCTCCCATATATGCCTCTGAATGCAGAAGGCATAGCCTAGGCCCAAAGGCCTAGTGATTCTTGCACAGTATTATTGGGTTTGGCAAATTAATCTTCTTCTTTTTTTTAAAGCGGATAGGAACATGGCCGCCTGATAATCAAAAACATTATATTAACAAGATAAACAAGAACATTAACAAATTAATGATATACTAGTATCCCTTTTAGAGTTTCAGTAAAGTAATCCGCGTGCTTCACCCACTTCTAATGAATTCTAAGATCTATTTCTATATACCAATGCCTTTCCGAGTCTGATTTTACTCGGCAATTTGGCAAATTGTTACTTTATATTTTCGAGGATACCGTACCCTAACATTTTACTGATATGATTTGCATTGCATTGGCGCCGTATCACCAGGGACGCAAATTAGACGGTCAATACTTCCAAATAAATTGATAATTTTATCTACAGCCACCCGAAATCATGCGTCTTAAAAGATTCTTGCTTCGTTACTACCCACCAGGTAATGTACCTTTGTTTTGGGGGTTATTTTGTAACCATTTTAAACTGTATATGACCATTTTTGCAGGCATCATCTCTTTCCCTTTCCATGTTTGTCAGGGTGAGTGTGTGTGTGACTTGTTCGTGAGCTGAGAGAGCTAGCGCGCGGTAGAGCTAGAGGGGAGGCGTTATTTTTTTATGCGGCACAGATTGGGGCTTTTTTTAAAAGGGGTCTTGATTTACAGACTAATACTGGTCGTGTGCGTACTAGACAGTATAAGTAGTAGAGGTCTCTTTTTAATAGTGTTACATTTAATCCACTACCGCATGGAAAATTATTACATCAACAATTAAAATCAAATTGGAAATCTGAAGAGGAGGCAGCACGTCAATAAGGAGAACATCACAATAATTAGTCAATAAAACTTAACTAATAGTTCGCGATGGATATACAAACTTCTTCGCAGCGCTAATGCGCTAGCTATAAACATGACTAGTCTCACGTACGTGCAGACACTATTCAGAAGGGAAAGAACGTACTTCCCATAGGTTTAACACGCGCCATGCCCCAATCTGTGCCGCATAAAAAAATAACGCAGAGGGGAGCCACAGACAGTGCTGCTAGTGCTAGTGTCAATGTGTGTCAATGTCATGTCAGTGCAGTTATCACCTGGTTATGTGCATGTGTACATGTGTGTCTCAGTAATTGGCAAATTGAATAATATTTGATATGCTATTAGTATTATGCAATGTATTTTAAAGGGATTTTACCATGCATTCAACAGACCAGCCAAAAACTGCCACCGGCCGAAAAATCCCTCCTTTATTTAATTAGGGTGTCTGATCGCGCACCCAATGTTGTGTTCTATTCTAAATTAAATCCTTCCCATAGAGATTGCACGCATCCCTATGCAGTCTACGTGCATTGCGCGATCATGCAAAATTGGTCAATGATTTCTTGAACAAATTGAAATCAAACCTTTATTGCTTGTGATCCTGAAGGTGAAACTCAATACATGAGGTGTCATAATGAAAGAGCAGGTTTTTCTCCATATTCCTCAAAGGGGCACACCCCAAAAATTACAAAAATATCTTGGTCAAAACAGCGATTGAAATGTTGTTTGCATCCTAGCTCCAAAATTGTCCACTTTCCTGAAGCGTGCCCCCGGGCTTATGTCCGGCTAGACGTAAGGAAAATGCACTTATTTTTTCGCTAGCCCCAAGAAATCACTCGCAATAACAACAGTTTAAAAATACCCTTTCCCCTTTTTGTTGGATCAGCTAATTAGGGAGGTGTGCGCTCCGCTCAGTCCAAACCATGGTAACATCGCATAACATCTGCACATAAATATGCATTTAAACCGCGTATGAATATCTGGTGAATGAAACCCCAAAAGCGAATGCACGTTTAACTTATAGTAGGGTGTCTGATCGCGCACCCGATGTTGTGTGCTAAAATTCTTCCCATAGAGATTACACGCATCCCTATGCAGTCTACGTGCATTGCGCGACCATGCAAAAAAAGTCAATTTTTTTTTTTCAATTCGAGATTCAAACCTTTATCTGTTGTGATCCTGAAGGTGATAATCAATAAATGAGGTGTCATATGAAAGAGCAGGTAAATTCCAATATTTCTAAAGGGGCGTAGCCCCCGAAATTCTAAAAATATCTTGGTCAAAACAGCAATTGAAACATTGTGTCCTGGCTAACTCTGAGGTTTGTCACTTTTGAGATATGACGCCCCGATCGATAAGTAGTCCCAGTCCTAAGGAACAATTCTATGTGCTTATATTTTCGCTAGCCCCCAGGGATCACAACTGATAACAGTTTAAAAATACCCTTCTCGCTATTTGGTGGATCAGCTAATTAGGGGGCGTGCGCTCCGCTCAGTCCAAACCATGGTTACATCGCGTAACATCTCCGCGCACGAACGAAACCCCAAATTCAAGTATGGGTGGCCATTCGCGGCATAGAACCCGGAAGTGAATACACGTTATAGTCAATGGCAATATCGCGGAGATATCTCCGCGATATTGCCATTGACTATAACGTGCATTCACTTCCGGGTTTATTGTGCGACGAACGCCAACCATACTAGTCAATGGCACATGTCGCGGAGACAGCGTAGCTCAAGCTGCAAGTCGCGGATTGGCTTAGCAGCATGCGTACGATATGCATACGCTTGCATATCGCGCGATACAGCTGTTTGGCTAAATTTAGCAAAACAACATCACTCTGCGTAGACGTCTTTTTCGTCGATTTTGACCAAAATGATATGAATATACCAGCGTTTTGAAGGGGCTGTAACTTTTGATAGAAACATCGGTGAGACTTGAAATTTGAAATGTATTATTCTGATAACATCTTTTATTCAAATATCAAACAAAAATGGTGAAAAACGATCCCAAATTGAAAATTGAAAAATCGTTCAGACACCCTAGTTATAGTCAATGGAGGTATCGCGTAGACAACGCATACAGCTTAATAGCAACATGCATACGCATGCATATTGTGCGATGGTGCTGTTTGGCTAATTTAAGCAAAACAACATAACTCTGCGTTTACGTCTTTTTCGTCGAGTCTGACCAAAATGCTATGAATATTGCAGAGTCTAGTAGGAACTGTATCTTTTGATAGAAATATTGGTGAGTCTTGAAAAATCGTCCAGACACCCTACTTTAATACTCTACTTGAAATAGTTGACCAGTGAATGATGAATGCAATTCAATTTTTCTGCTTTCTCAAACTCATAATCTGATGATTTTACTGTCACCAGAATGTCAGATAATTGCCTAAAGAAGTCTAATTGACCTGTTTGCTTCACACAAAAACAGTCATTCGAGTCAGCTAGTGCATTGCGATATATTGTGTGAAATGCTTTGGTGATTTTCTTTTTGCCAAATCGTGCTAACTGCCAAATAAACTAGGTAGGCCAGGGCAAACTCAGCATTACAAGGCCAAGACTAGCCAGTTTCACAACATTGAGGGCGTGCTTCGTGAGTGCATTTTGAGACCAAAAGCTGTGACCCACAATATCAAACATTATATAAGACTGAATTGCAATGTTATAAATGGAAAATTAAGTGTGATGATGTAGTTAAATTTTCCAAAAAACTTATACTCAACCTGTCAAATAATCAGAAAAATTCAAATTAAAGGCGACATGTATGATCCCGTTTGTTTTTATCGGCTCGCAAACATTTGAAGTTAGCCTTATTAGGCCAATCCTTCCGCGGCAGCCATCTATTTCCATACTGTACAACAGTAATCCTAAAAACTGAATTTTGATTCATTTGCAAACAATTACAGCTAAAAGCTGTTATTATTCTTGTAAACTTGGTTCACATGCAACATTGAACTATAATTTTTTTTTAAAAGGTCATTTTGGGGAAAAAGTCAAACAATTTAAATTGAAACTGGCAGCTATTCGCCCAATTTGTACATTCTGCTAATTTTTTTGTTCATTGTTTGTTGCATTTATAACTTCACCTTGGGTTACAACATGACAGTGGTTGACCCATCATTTTAGAGTATTTCCAGCACTTCCAGACTGAACAAAAATTTATATGAAACTGCCTATTAAACAAGACAGAGGTTTCCAGAGTTGAAATGTTACTTCATATCCAAGTGGGGGGGGGGGGGGGGGGGGGGGGGGGGGGGGGGCATGATCATTTATGGAATTGTAATGGTGTTTAAAAGATACCTTATTTTGTGGATCTCTAAATTAAAGAACATTCCCCACCCCCCCCCCCCAAAAAAAAAAAAAAAAAAAAAAAAAAAAAAAACAGTTACAAAGTGTGCTCTAAATATAGTACAAATTCACCAAAGTACACATGTGCATGTACCGGTACCCTATTTTTCATGGAATTTGCCTTGTGTTCTAGAACACTTCTTTGTGGAAGATTGATATGAAAGTTGTTGTTCTTAAATTACCTCTTTTTTTTCAAATGTGTGTGGGTTACTCTTATTCAATGAACTTTAAGTGAACCTTGATTGATGATACCCACTGTACCTCTTCCAGTAAGCAAAGGCGCTGTCCTGGAGAGGGCGACGTTGTTCATTATTTAAGAGTGCTGTTTAACACCTGGTGCAGGGTAGTCCATAAGGGGTTGAAGATGTATCAGCTACAGGTTCATACTCATTCTCAACCAAAAATATTCATGAAATATTAGACATAAACATAAAAGAAAATAAAATGCTTCAAAATTTGGATCATATTGCACCTGAGTACATCTACATTAAAGGTTATACAAAGTTTTGGGAAATTTTGAAAATTGGGTGGATAGTGATTCTTTACAATTTTGATATATTTGGATGCCCCTGTGGATGTATTAAAAGCACTAGAAAATTTAGCCCCTAAAACAATTCTGCTTTCGAGAAAAATTGAATATAAAAATTTACCGGTGCTCCCGGTAAATTTTGATAAATTTCAAATAGCGCCTACGGCCATACAATGGTAGCTACGACCATGAAAATCTCAGAATACGTAATTGTAAGCTGTAATTTCCAAACGGGAATAGCTAATCGGTCGACTTTAGTCAAGAAACATTGTTTTATAGCTTAATTAATATATTGACCTTGAGAGGGAGCTACATGTATACAGCATAAAGAGTTTATTATTTACAATTTCATAACTTCAGACTAGATTTCAACCGCGACAACGATCACTGAATATTTTAGGATTGCAAATGCTTCCAATATGTTCATTTGAACCAAATTTATGACCCCCCCCCCCCCCCACAAAACTTTGTACTACCTTTAAGAACCTTAGAACCCTCAAAGCAAGCCATGGAACCCAGGCACAAGGGACTTGCTTTACATACATGTACATCATTTCATGCTCCTTCCAACTTCCAATTTTGACATGTATGTATTTATGTTTGTGAACCACCCTGTGCCTCTGCTTACAACATATTGGCTGGGGCGGGGGTGGCGGTTGCATCATTCATCTAATGATAGGTTCGGCCCGCCTACAAGGATCATTAATGTGGCTCGAGGGGAGTTAACATCCCGATCTTTAGTTAGGAGAATGCTCTATATTGCTTGTGATGAGAAACTGTACTTTTTGTTTTTATGTTCTTTCTTGTTCTGTGTTTGATTGCAGGTATCATCTTGGAGTATGAACAGTCTCAAATGCTGAAAACTAAATCTATAGATCTCTTAGACCTCAAAGCGGAGTAAGTTCTTTCTCTCTTTTTTCTTTTTATTTGTTAAAATTTGTTTTTGTCCATACACAATCCTGACACAATGAATGTTATGAAGCAGAATTATCAGTTTCAGAAAGTGATAGTAAAAATGGGTATTCTTTCAAAAGTTTGTAAGCACTTTACTTTACATCATTAAAGGGATCGTTTAACAATGTTAAATCTTAGATAATGTACACGGCCCTCCATGTTCAGTGTCTGTGATATGGTGTAATATTGAAGCCCTAAAAAAAAAAAAAAAATCGCATTTCAAAATGATCAAGGAGTGCCTCAAAAAAGTAAAAAAATCTTTGAGTGACCGGTTTTACCATACTCGTTTTCCCAAATAGACTGTAAATTTGTAATCCCAATCATAAATATCTTGATAATCAGACATGCGTTGGCTTGTGAAAGTCATGGAGTTCCTGACTGACCTAAAGGTTTATAATTATCATTGCAGCATGAGCTAAATCCTGGATTTTGTTTCAGAATCTGAGACAAAGTTACCGGATCCCTTTGATTAAAAAAAACGTTTACATGTAAACAAATATAATATGGTGTGAAATATTTACATGCGTCCTTTTAGGTACAGGTAAACTGCATGGAATATGGGTGGTGAAGTGAGCGTGGAATGAGTTGATTCACTTTGATGAGCTCATTAATGGTGAATGGAATGGGATCACATGCTAGTTTCAGCCTGCATGGGCCTAAACATGCATGTATGTGGGGAAAAAGTTCACATGTACCATAAATCTCTGTGTATAAGGCGCACTTTTTTGCCGCCGAAAAAAATTGAAAGTTGGGGGTGCGTCTTATACACAGGTACAAATATTTTTAAATATTTTTTTAAAGTTTCGATTTATGCCCGGCGCTATGCCTGGCAATGTCTCCCAGCTCAGTATTCTGTGTGTTGACTCACCACTCGGAAACTACAGCAACACTCACATTTGTCTGTCATCTTGGTTTGAAATTAATCTAATAGATCTCAATATGTAGTTTATGATAATAATTCCTCAAATTTTTCTTTTATTACAAGGTTCTATCCTAGGTACTCCTAGGATCTTACACATTCTTCTAAAAACGACATTGTTACTATTATTTGTGACAAGTTCACAAGCACAAATTGGCGCCTTCAACTGCACCTCGATGTTAAATGAAAGTCCTTCCCGCGCGGGTTTTCGGCAACAAAACAACAACAACAACAACAAAAAACAAAAAACTTTTTTTTTTTTTGCCCCCAAAATAGGGGTGCGCCTTATACACAGAGATTTACGGTACATACAAAGCATGTTAATCAGTGAATACTGTGACTCCATTTTTTTAAAACATTCTTTTTGGGGAAGAATGTTTGTTACATGATATAATACTGGCATGTTTCAACCAATTTTAAAAATGAATTTGGAAAACGTAATGAGATTGCATCATTGCAGGGCTGTTGTTGTTATTGGTTATATTTATGGCGTTCAGTCAAATTTGACTATTTACGACTAGTCTAGTTCTTTAGTCGTGTCGAGGTAGTCGAGTTGTAATAATTCCTAGCTTGGAAACTCTGTGCGTCTATGCTTTGCTGGTCCACTGCTGGGGAATGTATCGTCCCGGCCAACTCTTTTACTTACATTTTATAGCGAGCTTATTAATCCTGCGAATCTAGGCTACTCAGAAACACAGCGTACTCCTAAAGCATGACGTCACTTGAGTTTCATTATTTTGGCCGATGTCGTTCTGTCAAGAACGAGCAAAGACACTGTTAAACTTTTTTTTTTTAAACATTACTAAAACAAATAAAACAGAAGCATGCACTGGAAAATAATCATATCATTCCCTGGGGAAATGTTAGGAATGAGATTGCAAGGCCCTCAGATGGAACAGTATTTATACTGATGAGGCTACGTTGGGCAAACTAGACATATTATTATTATTATTATTATTATTGTAATGTTACAATAATTATATTAAAATATCTTAATTAGTTGTTGAAATTGCAATTTGTCCATGTTGTGGTTTTGATGTGTATTTCAGGAGTGACATTGATCCAATATTAGATGAGATTGTTCGTAAGGAACCTCTGGTCACACCAAACAGGACAGACCAAGTGAGACAACTGATAGAGAGATTACAAGAGAAACTTGCCAAACCTGATGACCATAAGTTCTTCCTTTTCAAGGTAAATGAATTTCATCGTTTTTCTTTTTTCATATTCTTCAGATACACAGGTACTGTACATGTAGCTAAGCCATATTGTGTTTGTGGTGTTGATGGTGATGGTGGTGGTGGTTGTGATAGTGGGGGTGGTAGGGTGGTGGTTGTGGTAGTGGTGGTGGCCCAGGGGGGTCACTCCAAACATGACTGGCTACGCGGTACGCACCCGCGTCCAGAAAAAGCGACGAAAGGGTGTCTTTTTCAGCTATACGGCGCGTCAACGTTTTCCTTAAAAAGGGTCGTTTTTCAAGCACTGATCGCACAAAAAAAAAAGGTACATTTTCAGATTCACAGATTCAGCGTCGTCTACGTTTTCCTTAAAAAGGGGTGTTTTTCAAGCACTGATAGCATAAAAATCCCCTTTCAGGATCACAGGTTTCGACGTTTACTTTAAAAAGGGTCATTTCAGAAAAGGTTTTGTACGCCATTAGGGTCCATTTTAGATGTTGATGGACATGGGTGGGTAGCATTTGTGTATGAGAGTGACCCCCCCCCCCCCCCCCCCCCCCCCTGGGAGAAGTGGTAGGAGTGGTGGTGGTGATGGTGACAATGGCGGTTGTGATAGTAGTTGTGATAGTAGTTGTGATGGTGGTAGTGGTTGTGTTAGTATTTCAGTCAGTGTCAAATTATGAAAAAAACCTTGATTGCATTCCAACAGTTAGTTTTATGTTTTTTTTTGTGATATTGATAGCAAGCTAAGTGAATGCATATGAATGCATGCAATAACACTTGTACATCTGGCTCTGTGCATTAACTCAACAGGAAACGGTACTTTTGCTTTTATTTCGCATGAAAATTATGTCAAAGTAGAGTGCACACTGACGTTGGTAAAGTCTAAGACTTGACTGTAACAATCTTACATGGATACTAGGTAATGATGTTATATTTTTTATCAATAGGCTGATTTGGTCAGCCGCATTTAAGGACCACCTCCTTTCTGGCTGCTACCAGCCTTAGCAATTTTCTTTGTATTATTCATGTTTGTACCGGTAAATTGATTCTGTGTATTTCTGTGTTTATCTATGTTAGTAATTGTAATTGTGTGAAACTTTGTATACTGCTTTTGTTTTACCCTGTATGTTCTTTATTGCTTTGCAAAATAAACTGAATTGAATTGATTCCTCAAGTAAAATTTATTCCTAACCTAATAAAGTTCCTAATTGTAAGGAATGAGTCCTTAACTCCTTATGTGTACATGGTTCATGAAAAAAATACTGACTGATCAAAATTAAAAAAAAGAGGAATATCACATCATTTAACCTCTAGGATATAAGCTGTTGAGTATTAACCAAAAATGGTGATTGTAGACAACTTTTCTATGTCACTTAATTATACTGTTATTTTTGTCTAATTTTTGTCTTTGTTATTCTGTACAGGTTCTAAGAGCACACATCCTCCCTCTGACAAATGTTGCATTCAACAAGTCAGGGTCTAACTTCATCACAGGCAGTTATGACAGAGCGTGTAAAGTATGGGACACAGCATCTGGGGAGGAGCTCCACACATTGGAAGGGCACAGAAATGTAGTCTATGCCATAGCCTTCAATAATCCTTATGGGTGAGTGTTACTTTTATACTTACTTAAATGTACATGTACATACTTTACTTTAGCCAAATCCTTGCGGTTTCTCGAGATATGATGGACAAGGGGAGTGTTTCACAAAGACTAAGATCGACTTTAAGTTGGACTTAATTATGGCAGGCCGTTCAAGCCACTGGTTGCTCTCACCATTGGTCTCTCAATTATGATCTTTAGATAATATTTTTCCTTCATTTATGAATCATCAAGAAATGTAAAATCTGTAGATTTGTGACCACGTTTTGTACGTCCCTTGAGAAATCAATGCCAGGAATGGTTAGAGGAAGTAGTGGCATGAATGGCCTGCCATAGTTAAGTCAAATTTAAAGTCAATCTTAGTATTTATGAAACACCCCCCAAGGTCTTCCTATCTTTCAATGTATGCATGTTTGGGCTGGTTTTCCTCTGCCTCTTTGTGCATGTACACTTACGCATGGCTAACATTTACGCTGGTGGTTTATTTTAATTTGTATTTTTTCAGGCATTCAAGTTAAAAACCAAACCAAGTTTTGAAAAAAAATCATTACAGGGCTGCATTGCTATATACCACTGATATACTATGGACGATCACAAAGGACAAAAATTGATCACCAAATATTGTCAAATAATGACAGAATATCTCTTTGTTTCAAAGAATGCATAATTTATTTAATATTTATTTTGCAGCCTTTTCTGGTTATTCATTAAGATGTATTGTTAACTCATATCCTGCCATGAGACTGCTAGCGCGCTATTGTTATAGTGCTCGGTGCACGCGAGCGCGCTATCGATTGAATGCCACGTTCATGCTAGCTAGCCATCGCTACTATGCTTTGTGCACGCAAGGGCGCATATGTAATAACAGTCATTGTTCATGCCCATTGCACCGTGCTGAGTGCTTTTGCAGCGCTATTGAAAGTACCATCGCGTGCATCAGATTATCGGCTTTGGATTACGCATCTTTGTATACAACAGTCAGATTGGATTTTCTCGAGTAATTTAGCGATTTGTTTTTTGTAAAGATTTAAATAACACGCGTTTGAACCAACCTTAAAATTAACTTGGCACACAGGAGATTTGTGGGTGGCACAATAGGGATTAGCACTGTGGCACTGGGTGCATTGTATGGGTGGCAGCTTAAGAGTTAAAGGTAAAGGCCAGTTTTGGAAACGCTCCCCTCTCAAAACATGAAATGGAAGCTCTTATCACCAATCATATGAAAGAATATGTTTTGGCTAATACGTGATGATACAAATTTTGTCGAGAAACCGCCTACTAATTGATATATTTGTTTAATTATTATATCTATTTGGACCTGATAGATATCGTGCACGTGTAGCGCACGTGTCGCGTAGTCCCATATACATCTTTCTGTGTACAGTGCTTGTAACTTTACTAAGACCGGGCAAAATTTTGTATCATTTTGATGATTCCAGAACCTTGCAGTACACATCAATACTTATGCTAGATGATCAACCTTATCTGATCGATTCCACAACGTTTCTTTCACAATGCAATCAGATGACCATAACTGGTCTTTACCTTTAAAGGGACTTGGTAACATTGTTCAGATGAGAGATCGTGGTGCTGAGGTAGTGACGTCAATGCTAAATGTACAATTAAAGATAATCTGAAAATTTGAGTGAAAACGGACCATTATTCATGGTACAAATTGGGAAAAACTGATCTGATTGATTCCTTAATTATATTATTACAATTTAATTACATTTTAGGTGAATGTGAATCGTCACAAAGCAATAACATGGCTCTACATTCCATTCCAGACATTTAAGTGTTGACAGATTTTTTATAGCCTGTTTTATGTCTTTTTTTTCATGGAAAAACGGTTGGGAAAATTCAAAAATGGTTGGGAGAATTTACTGTTAATCACTGTTAGAGGGTGTCATACATTGACGCCTTCAAAGAAAACCATAGATATCTTCGTGGTTTGAAAATTTGTTCAGGATTTTTTGCATGTCAGAGGGTTAGTACAGTAGAAGGAATATAGTAAGTAACATTTTATACAAAAATTAAGCAATTTTTTAGCAACCTTCAACAATGTTGAGTCACTTTAAGGCCATGGTTTGGTTTTAAAACCAACTTTTGCAATTTCTGCCCCAAAAATCTACAGAAATATGTACAAGGAAGTGGGTTTTGCTGAAGTACTAGAGCACGGTTGTCATTTTGTTATTGGCTAACTGGAGTTTGGCTGTGTGCAATGATGAAACCTTCAATCTTATGTTTTAAATTTTATATAACAGTGACAAGATTGCTACCGGTTCCTTTGACAAGACATGTAAGCTATGGAGCTCCGAGACAGGCAAATGTTACCACACACTACGGGGACACACAGGTGAAATAGTAAGTTTTCTATTGTAATTAGGGCGCTTTAGCAACGAGAAGGAAAACACAGGAGACGGAGTGTTTAACCAACTGTGACGGGTCTCGCACTTTTGTTACCGTCGTGATTTTAAGCGCTTACGCTGTCTGCTAAAGGCGACGGGGACGCAAAGTCCGTATCCAATTCCCGCGCTGAACTGCACACCTGCTGCCTTTTGGTGCTAGTGCTCTAGGGCCTTGAGGCTTGGCCGGAGCGTCATGCATAACGATGAAAAAAGGCCCCCAAATTAGGCCTAAACGGTCAAACCATCAATTTATTGTAGATTGAGGTATAGAATAAGCTACTTTCCCTGTTTTTATCTTTTGTAGTCATGGTAGTGCCCTGCATTGTTAGATCTAGATAAATATTATTTGTCGGCTCTCTCTCTTATGTCGTGTTTAGGGAACGAACGCTATGTTGGCCGAGTACCGTTCTGAAAATCGACGGGACAGAGAGATTTCAGGTTCGCGCATGCGCAGTTTGTTTTTTTTCGCTTGCGTTACCGTCTCCTGTGCGTACCGTATCGTTGCTAAAGCACCCTATTAACGTTGTATAAACCGCCCTTGTGTATTAACCGCACCCCTCTTTTTCGCCCTCAAAAAAAAAAAAAAAAAAAAATTTTTTTTTTTAAATCGCCCGCAGGAAGAAAAAAAATCTTGTTAAAATTAGTGTTGTAACATCATAGATATTTCCAATTGAAACCGGACGGCTTTCGGTTAAACAGAAATTACTCACTTTTGCCAAGGTCGCCGCTGATTGATAGTGGCCAACACTGGGCGGGCACGGGGCCGATCAGCACGGAGGATTTTCGCCCACCACTCCTGATGAAAAACACTGCTTGCGACCGGCACTAATTTCACATAAAAAAAGTGCTTTAAACGTAACTATTTGTGAAGAAAAGTAGAACTTACATTCATATTTCCGTCTTTAATCGTGTTTTATTTGCAATTTTACAAGAATCATGTTTTCAATTTGACAATAAATCAATATTTTTAAAAGATGTGCTGAGACGGTTGTTGTCTAATGTTATGAGTCATGGAAGCTGCCATGTTGAATTTACCGATGTATACCGTAAATCTCTGTGTATAAGGCACACTTTTTTGCCGCCGAAAAAATTTGAAAGTCGGGGGTGCGTCTTATACACAGGTACAGAAAAAAAAAATACATATTTGAATTTTTTTTTTATGCCTCCGTTACGAAGTAGCCGGAGGCATTATGTTTTTGGGTTGTTCGTCCGTACGTACGTACATCTGTACGTACGTACGTCCCGTTCTTGTGATCGCGTTATCTGAAGAACCGATCGATGGATTCCTGCCAAACTTTGGTCATGTATGTATCTTGCAGAGCCAATGAACTGATTAGATTTTGGGGTCACGAGGTCAAAGGTCAAAGGTCACAGGGCTCATTAGGTATGCAAAAACAGCTCGTGATCGCGTTATCTGAAGAACCGATTGATGGATTCCTGCCAAACTTTGGTCATGTATGTATCTTGCAGAGCCAATGAAGTGATTAGATTTTAGGGTCATGAGGTTAAAGGTCAAAGGTCACAGGGCTCATTATGTATGCATAAACAGCTTGTGATCTCGTTATCTCAAGAACCGATTGATGGATTGCTGCCAAACTTTGGTCATGTATGTATCTTGCAGAGCCGATGAACTGATTAGATTTTGGGGTCATGAGGTTAAAGGTCAAAGGTCACAGGGCTCATTATGTATGCATAAACAGCTTGTGATCGCGTTATCTCAAGAACCGATTGATGGATTCCTGCCAAAATTAGGTCATGTATGTTACTTGCAGAGCCAATGAACTGAGTAGATTCTTGGTTCATAAGGTCAAAGGTCAAAGATCATGGGCTCATTATGTATGCAAAAATAGCTTGTGAACGCATTCTCATTAGAACTGACAGATGGATTACTATTTAACTCAGGACATCTTGCAGAGCCAATGAACTGAGTAGATTTTAGGGTCATGAGGTCAAAGATCAAAGGGTCATATATATGTATATGAGAAATTGCTTGTAATCACGATATTCTGAGAACCTGTCAATGGATTACAATTGAACTTGAATCCGAAAAATTTCTTCTGTTTTGGTTTGTAAAATTGCTCTATGACGGAGGCATCATTTTCGACTGCGCGCAGTCGAATTCCATCTAGTTTTTTTTTAGTTTCGATTTATGGTGCTATGCCTGGCAATGTATCCCAGCTCAGTAATCGGTGCGTTGACTCACCAATGGGAAACTACAACAACACTCAAATTTGTCTGTCATCTTGGTTTGAAAGTAATCTTTTTAATAGTAGTTTATAGTAATAATTCCTCAATTTTTTTTTCTATTACTGTACACATGGTGTACCCCAAGGTTTTATCCTAGGTACTTTATTGTTTTTAATCTTAGACATTCTTCTAAAAACGACATTGTTACTTTTATTTGTGACAAGTTCACAAGCACAAATCGGCGCCTTCAACTGCACCTCCCCCCAAAATAGGGGTGCGCCTTATACACAGGTGCGTCTTATACACAGAGATTTACGGTACGTTATAATACATAGAGATAGCAGCCCAGGCTCGTTCGATTACTATTCTTATAAATGTTTATTTCATGATTTACATTGTAAAATTTGTCCGATATCATTACAATTAATTATTTTTTAAAAATTGATTGTGTTTGAGCCAAACTTGTTTTGATCAGCGCCTAGTACGCAAGTATATTCTTGTTTATGGCTTGCGATCGCGACGTTGCAGAGCTCAGGATTTGGGATTTAAAGGGTGTCAGTGAAGTTGCGCCCACCACTGAAGAGGCATAAATCACAAAGGAGGAAAATGGGAAAAAAGTAAATATAGAATGAGCAATCATTACAAGAAAATTAGGTACAAATTGACAAGTTAATTAGCTTGTGAAAACGTTTACATTTTTCTGCGAACATCCGAACCAGGCCTTTGCGTTCGGTTCAGAAGTGCCATGTTCGGCGAACTTTCGTTTATTTCTGCGGTTCGGCTACCGCACTAACATACCTGCCAACCCTCCCGAATAATCCGGAATATCCTGTTTTTCTGGATTTTTAGGACCCCAAAATCCGGGATATCCCATAAAATTTCGATTTTTGTTGTTGTTTTTTTTGTTTTTGTTGTTTTTTTGCTTAAAGGTACTATGTCATTTGCAGGCCAAAAAAATGAAAAAGTTAAATTTAAACTGCATTTGAAAGATAATACTAATTTAGAACTTCCCTAAAAAAGGTGGGGCTTGAAAATGTTTTCAAGTGGGAAAATAACGACTATTAGTTGTCAAATCGACTTTAGGGCTATAGAGCCCAAAAGTAAGAGTCTTGATTTTCAGACAATTATACCGAATGGTCGTACGTTTTATGCTGCGCAAAGATTCAATCAGTTTAATCTTGGCCATCACAAGAAGTGGGTTATTGATGTAGACAAATGCTCATGTACCCTTTACAACTCTTTTCATGTACATGTACATGTATGTTATTACCAAAGAAGAAAAAAAGCCAGTCAGTCACTCAATAGTGTCTGACAGTGAAGTCTAGCAAGTAAACTGGTTTCCTTGCATAATTTGAATATGAGGACACTGCCAATGTTTAAATTTTACAGATAGGACATACATGACATATTCATAATTCCTGCAAAGTTCTACAGAATTTGAGGTTGGCTGCAAAAGGGACATAGTACCTTTAAGCCAAATTAAGCTTGTTGTATCATATGCCCCGATGTGAGAGTGCACATATTGCGTGCGTTGAAGGGCTGCATGATTGAGCAGCGAATTTGTATTCGCTTTTTTGCACAGATTTATTTACCGCGTATTGCCAGTTACACTGCCGCTGCATGTGCGAACGCCTGTTAAGGGTACAGATTTCTTATTTTCGAAGACATACCGTGCTAAAAATTCTTAATTCCCATTTTCAAATGTTGGCAGGTATGCACTAATGTAGATACCAAATGAAGATTGAGTGATGAAACTGCACACAACAAAGTTGTACGTTTCTGCTTGAGAGAGGGAGCTTTACTATGAATCTAAAATAGGCTGGCTAAATTAGAGACTTGTTTTGTGTAGTCTGAGCATTTAGTATGGCTGGATCACTTGCATGTCATAGTTTACTCATATCTTTAATTGGAGGTTTTTAGCTTCTACATATTCATCCTGTGTGCATGGGTTTATAATTTTATCACCCTTTTCTACTTATTTTTATAGACTAGAAATTTGATTTTTTTTTTTTTTTTTTAATTTTTTTTTTTTAATATATATATATATATATATATATATATATATTTTTTTTTTTTTTTTTTGGGGGGGGGGAAGGCATTTAATGCATTTAATCATGTCAAGATGGAAAAAAAAATGTATTTCTAAAAATGATTTTTATTGTTTTGGAATCAATAAAACAAAAATATATTCTTCCTATTTATTTTAATGTATGGCTGTTAAAAATTCAAAGTCTGAAAGGAATACATTCCAGTAAAATGTGTTTCCAATTAAAAATTGAAAACATTTTCAAATCTCAAAGATTTTCACATCATAATGTTTCCATGGCAACATAGATAAAACTACTTTGTGGTATAAGTGTATGATGCATATTTTAAGCTTCTTCTTCAATCCAACTGTTATTACATGTATCTGTAACGAATCCATTCTAATAACTTGTAGCCAATAAAAAGTGAGAAAATGTAACAAATCTGTTTAACTGTTCACTCACAATGTGCTTATCCTTACAATATTATGTTTATCACTTCAGGACATCTTTTGGAACTACAAATTCTAATGAACAAAGATTACTTGCCTGCATCTATTAAGTACCAGCCTTACACATAGTTCAAATTGGCTCGTATTTATTGATTATTGTAGAAAAGGTGATGAATGCGACAAAGCAGTAATATAATATGAAGTCAATTTAATAACACTCTCATAGCATAATAAATATAATACAATGGACAGCTCTTGCTTTCCTGCCTATAAATTAACCTCCCAAGCTTTTCACAGCCGCTCGCAGACACCAGGGTGCAATATGGAGCATTTCCTTCTGATCCAATCCACATATCGGAGCTTTCTCTCATAAGAATATTTAAAAGGAAAGATTCTTATCCTTCATCAATGGAGCAATGTATACATACTAAAAAGGCTCAAACCCCTTTAATAATAATGGATCGTTCCAGAAAAGTCAAAAGCCTATTTAGCACCTGGCCAATGCAAGGGTCATTCCATTACACTTTAATGGGTGTTTTTCTTTCTGCTCTTATGAATGAAATGAAAATTTAGAAAAGCAAAAAAGAGGAAACAATTGTGGGTGCTAATGAGTCAGGCATTGTAGGTCAGTAGGTCAACCTCGTTCAGACGGAGGTCAATGTTCTGTCTGTAGCCGGTCAGTCAGGGCCTGGGAGGGTCAGATTAAAGGCCACTTCACCAGGTATCAGGTCAGTTTTGACCAATTTACAGTGAAACTGGATGCTTGACCATCTTGTTGAATTATGCATGCAAGGGATACAGCGGGAAGTAGCGTATTATGCAAAGCGGCTGATCTTCTAATTGATTTAAATTTGCTCTTTCGTATTCAGTGCCCCATTCAAAGATGATTGTTGACCTCCATTTGAAAGGCCGTTTCAGGCGTATTGTATGAATTCAATTATGCCATTAGAAAAACTCAGAAATTGAATTAGATGAAAAAGAAAAATGAATATTTCTCACATCATCGCTAGCCAAATTTAAGAGAAAGTGACATTTCACTATGAATTGATAAAATAATTAGTCATTTTCTTTTGTGTGTATAAATGTAATAGCTTGTGAAACACAAGTGTTAGGAAGAAAAAGAAAATCTGTGGGAAAGTGTTAGTGCTAGGCTTCAAAAAGACAACACAAAATATTTCCATTTTCATACAGAAACTGATGCCTTTTAGAAATAAAAATCAAGATGTTATTTTTTTACATTTAATTTTTCTTCTTACTTTGTAAAGAATCACAACAAGTTTTGCACTTTACTTCTTGTTTTGTTCATATTAAAGAGACAACATAGTTGAAGCTGAATTATTTTTGCTATTTTTACTACAACTCTCCTGCGATTGATATTGTACGAGTGTTATTAGTAATAACAACTTGTGACAGAACACATGTATTTGCCATCCTCCTAACATGTAGCTTAATAAGCCTTAATTATGGAATGCCAGCTTGTATCGAGTGAAAGCTGTCTCAACTTGACCTCATTCATTACAAATGCTCAGGGAGAGAGAGAGAGAGAGAGTGAGTGAAAGAGGGAGAGAGAGAGAGGGAGGAAAAGAGGGAGGGAGAGAGAGAGAGAGAGAGAGAGAGAGAGGGAGGGGGAGAGAGGGAGAGAGAGAGGGGAGAGGGGGAGGGAGAGATAGAGAGAGAGAGGGAAAGAGCTAGACAGAGAGAGAGAGAGAGAGAGAGAGAAAATCCAACTTGACCCTGATACAATAAGGCAGGATGCATAGCATGGTCAAGGTTACTTGTAATGGAGATAGTATCTACTTCTCTTGAAAATAAGTCTCCAACAGTGGGTTTATAATGAGGGTAATTTACCGTTTTGCTTTGATAGTGTTACTAGCCATTTTATGTGTTTCATACAAAAGATGGTACCCTTTTTACTGCACTTTACTTCAACTTTTTGATTGTAATTGTTATCAAAAAGACATGATTTGAATCTATTGAATTTTTGTTCTTCAATTCAATAAATGTTTTATTCAAACATGTCTCGCAGCAAGTAGCTGAATTTCACATGGTGCTAAATTTAACGAAATGCATCATCGCATGAAATATAACCATGATTTACACTTTAGCATAAAACATCTTAAAATTGATTACATCGAATCATTACACCAAAAATAACAGTAAACATATTTATCATATATTGATCAATTTGATTAATATCATCATTGTCCCTCATTGTCTGTTTTGCCTCAATTATTAAATTTACCTTTTAAGCACACAGTTTGCTAATTAAAAACAAACAAAAGTGATTTGAAAGGATAATCTTAAATTACATTCTCTCTCTCTCTCTCTCTCTCTCTCTCTGTACTGCTCATGAATGTTGAGTTCATGTAAATCTTTATAATTATTACTCTTTGTACCTCTTTGCCAATTACAGTTGTCGTCAGTCAAGGGGTTCTTATTCAATTGATAATTCACTTCTTACTGTATTTAAAGAGAAGGTTGAGTTCTGGGAAGAGGTGGAAAATAATTTGTGAGTGTTATCATTGTATAATATGCAAGTGTGGATGAACATCACAGTAAAAATGTTCCCTGAAAAGCATGGCTCTTCAAATGCCTTAATATTCTAAAAATGGCATGTAACGTCATAAAAATAGGGACAGATTTTTATGCCACATGTTTGTGTAGTCCCATATACATCTTTCTGTGTACAGTGCTTGTAACTTTACCAAGACTGAGCCAAATTTCTTAGTATCATTTTGATGGTTCAAGAACCTTGCAGTTCACACCAATACTTATATGCTAGATGATCAACCTTTTCTGATTGATTTCACAATGTTTCTTTCACAATACAATCGCATGACCATAACTGGTCTTTATCCTTAAGGTGACTAAATAGGGTGACTTAGTCTAAATATTATGTTAACATTTATTCCATATTACTTTCTAGTTTTTATTGTTTTTTGTATACAAAAATTGTAATAAATAACATTTCTTTTTGCATTCATCCTTCATTTATCAGGTATGTGTAGCATTCAACCCACAGAGTACTGTGATCGCTACAGGTAGCATGGATACTACAGCTAAGCTATGGGACATTAAGACAGGAGCTGAGAAAAACACATTGTCGGTAAGGGATCCTAAGTTTTATTTCCATTGTACATTTATAGTAGCCATCTGTTGTTCATTTGTTAATTCTGATTTTCAGCTGACTAAATCTTCGGAGTTTCAATATGTATAAATATTGGTGTTTTGGTTAGAAAATTAATGTTAAGATATTAAAAGAGTCTGTTGTAATGTCTGAATATCTTAAAGGCAATACAAAGTTTTGGGGAATTTTGAAAATTGGGTCGTTAATGCTTCTTTACCATTTTGATATATTTGGATGCCCCTGTGGATGTATTAGGAGCACTAGAAAAATTAGCCCCTGAAACACTTCTGCTTTCGAGAAAAATTTAAAATAAAAATTTACCGGTGCTCCTGGTAAATTTTGATAAATTTCAAATAGCGCCTACAGCCATACAATGTTAGCTGCAATCATGAAAATCTCAGAATATGTAGTTATGACATAAAATTTCCAAACGGGAATAGCTAATTGGTCAATTTTAGTCAAGAAACATTGTTTTATAGCTTAATTAATATCTTGACCTTGAGAGGGAGCTACATGTATACAGCATAAAGAGTTTATTATTTACAATTTCAAAACTTTAGACTCGTTTTCAACCGCGACAACGATCATTTAATATTGTAGGATCGGTTTCCTTCCAATATGTTCATTTGAACAAAATTCATGACCCCATACCAAAACTTTGTATTTACCTTTAATGTACATTGTAGAATTAGGTTTGAACTGTTAAAAGTCTTGCCAATTGGAAGATTTTAGTGCTTGGATGTTTTGAATGGTGTGAAACAATTAATTGTTATATGGCATAAATAGGCACACATTATGAACAAATGTTTGCGCTCTCTCTTTGTGCATTTGGTGTATTTTTCCAGGAATCTTGTGTCATAATGTTATTGTGCCAAACCACACATGCATGACTTGTGCTCTGAATGAACTAACAAGTAAAGTTTGCCTTAAAGGGATTGTTTAATAATGTTAAATCTGAGATGCACGGCCCTACATGTAATCAGTGTCTGTGAAATGGTGTAATATTGAAGCCCTAAAAAAATTGTGCTTCAAAATGAGCAAGAAGTGCCTAATCAGACAGGCGATCGGCTTGTAAAAGTCATGGGGTTCCTGACTGACCTAAAGGTTTATAATTATCATTGCAGCATGAGCTAAATCCAGGATTTGTTTCAGAATCTGAGACAAAGTTTGCCTTAATTCTGAATTGATTTGTTTTTCTTCTTCTCTTATCCAGGGTCATTCAGCTGAAATCATCTCTCTTTCATTCAATTCAATGGGAGATAGGGTCATAACCGGTTCGTTCGATCACACAGTATCAGTATGGGATGTACATACAGGAAGGTATGATAGATTCTTTTATTTCTTACATCATCTCTGTCTGTCTGTCTGTATGTCTGTCAGTGCAATATTAACACTATCTTTCTTCCTTCCTTTTTTCTTTGTTAAATATTGTACTATTTGTCAGTGACGGCCAAATTTTGTATCAGTGATGTTTATTTTTCTTGATATCATGAAGAAAGGAAAGGATGAAACTTACATGAAGTCAACGGTCCTGTTATCAAGAACATGGAGCTTGGAGAAAAACCAGAAAGAGAGGACGAGCAAAGATGAGATGAATAGAACTTGCATGAATGAAGACTCAAGAATTGGATTGACCCCCGACCCCTGACCCCTCTCCTAACAGATGAGGGATTAAAAACCCTAAACCTTCTGATTCCATGTCAAAGAAAGAACCATTATTGGTCCTTTCTTTGAATCATGTTTTCAAACATGTATGAAGGGGTGACCAAAGTTCCCGCAGATTTTGAAAATTTCAATTATTACCAAATGGACGGCAAAGTTTTTGCTACAAATTGGTTCAACTAGAAAATTTATCGTCAAAGGATTCTGGAGAAAAAGTGGGAAAAAATGGAAAAAGTCAATGTCCGATCGCCGTGAGCTTTCCACCAAAAAAGTCATTAAAACAATGAGACCTTACCTCGCGCACAGGGTAAACAGCTGATCTATAAAGAAATGTGATCCATCAAAAGTAAGATAATTTCATAATTTGCACGGGAAGATATCATACAATCAGTCGGTAACAAAACAGAGACTTCTTCATATTTTTTTTTTACCTATTTTACCTATTGAATTTTGTTTACAGATAGAAGAAAATATCTCATGTAGAAAACCATGTACATGTATATCCCTCCAGAAATGGAGGCAAATGCTGAAAATGTGAAGATGTATATATTACTTTTATGAGGAAATAAAGAAGACCAAGAAAGGTTATTTTACCCCAAAAATATAAGGCCTGTTGGTCTTAAAGCTGAAGGCTAATCCCGGTGACTAACGTCGCCCGTTATCGGGTAAATACCCGAATGGAGTTGAATTCCCCATCGGAGCCCAATACTATGCGTCTTTAAAGATAAAGACCAGTTCTGGTCATGCGATTGCATTGTGAAAGAAACGTTGTGGAATCGATCAGAAATGGTTGATCATCTAGCATGAAATGGTTGATCATTGGTGTGTACTGCAAGGTTCTGGAATCATCAAAATGATAAGAAATTTGGCCCAGTCTTGGTAAAGTTACAAGCACCGTACACAGAAAGATGTATATGGGACTAGGTACGCACATGTGCGCGACACATGCGTAATATCTATCACACCCCAATAGATAAACTAATTTACCAAATATATCAATCAGTAGGCGGTTTCCTGGCAAAATTGTTATCATTTATTGGTCAAAACATATTCTTTCACATTATTGGTAATAAGAGCTTCCTTTTCATTTTGTTGAAATTGGGGCATTTCCAATACTGGTCTTTACCTTTAACCAATAACTATCATCTTTATCGTTCAGACGCATCCACACTCTGATTGGCCATCGAGGTGAGATCAGCTCCGCCCAGTTCAACTACGATTGTTCTCTCATCGTGACAGGCTCCATGGATAAGACCTGTAAGATCTGGGATGCGGCTACGGGCAAGTGTGTGGGTAACCTCCGTGGCCATGAGGACGAGATTTTGGATGTGGTCTTTGACTACACTGGACAGTTCATTGCTTCAGCGTCGGCAGACAGTAAGATTGTGCTTTATCAGTTGTTGAGCCAGGAATATGTTTTATTTTCAGTGGGGGAATTTGTATAGCGCTGATATCTAGTTGTGCTATTGAAAGGGTTATTCAGAGTTGCCAACCATCCATTTTTTCCTCCAAATTACGGTACTGCGTTTTTTCTTCATAAAATAAAGTTTTTTATTTTTTATTTTTTATTTACAAAACTTGTCATCAGTGACAAAATACAGTTTTTGTTATAAGCTACTGAAATCCTTGCTTCTGATTGGTTGTTATCAACAGATTTGTCACTGATTTTTGTCATTCGTCATGGAAAAAAGGCTTTGTGAAACGGGTCCCAGTTGTTGAGCCAGGAATATGTTTTTATTTTCAATGGGGGAATTTGTAGAGTGCTGATATCTAGTTGTGTTATTGAGAGGGTTATTACTTCATGAACTAAAGAAACAGAAAAATAAGAACAAAATTAATCATAGCACTTACCAACATCAATTATAGAAAACACATCAAACAATACTAAAGAAGGAATCTTGTATTCCCAATATTACAACCTCGCATCACCACTTAACTTGATAGTATTGTAAAGGGACTTGTAAAGAGCAGATTAAACACAAGCTGCTAGTGATATTTTTAAAATAGAAAGTATGTTTTTTTGTTACAGGACATGATTTTAAGTGTTATAAGTTGCATTGATATCAAAATAACTTTCTTTGTTCTGTATTATACTACAGGTTCTGCAAGGGTCTACAATGCTGTTACCCATCACTGCATATGCAAATTGGATGGACATGCAGGAGAAATTTCAAAAGTACTTTCAATTTTATATTCTTAGGTTTATGTAGTTCTTTGAGCTTTGCTTTTGTCGAACAAATGTTGTTGTTTTTTTCCATTTTTTCTTCTTCTTCTCTTCTTCTTCTTCGTTTTTGTTGATGATCAGCCATGTACAAAGAAGACTAAAGACTTGATGCATGGCTGATCGTCATGAAACAGACTTAAGTCTTTTGTCAACTCTATTTGTTGCTACAGCAGGCAGCCAGCGAAAACGAACTCGTTTAATCAAATTATGGAAATACAAGCATTACTTTAAACAAACGGAATTTTGTTATTCCTGGCTCATTCTTCCTGATTGAGGTGTCATATGAAAGGGCAGAAATTGAACTTTCTAGAAATAATTTTTTTTCTTTGAAATTAAGATACCGCCCGCCAAATGACTTTTGGTTTCCTCTCTTCAAATTGTTTTTTATCACTCATGCGTGAAATATGCATCATATGACTTGCATAAAATGAAAGGAGAGGATCTCAGCTTTACAAATATGTGTCATTTTAAAATTATAATTGTCATTAAGTTATGTTAAAACCTTGATAATTCTCGGTTTCGTTTTTTCTGGGGACGCACTGTATATCAACATTTTAAAGAATTACTATCCATCCAATTTTCAAAACTTAGCATTACCTTTAATAATAATACTGATTACTCGTTCTTTTCTGTTTCTCAGATTTCCTTCAACCCTCAAGGTACTAAGCTACTGACTGCCAGCGCTGATAAGACAGCTAAGATATGGGATCCTAAATCAGGTACTTGTCTCCAGACACTAGAGGGACACACAGACGAGATATTCAGCTGTGCATTCAACTATGAAGGAGATACGGTTATTACAGGTAATGTGTAGATGCAGAGGACTGGTTATTAAACTGGGGATCTTGATCCCTAAGGCGGTAATAGATCGGGGAGGTGTTTCACAAAGCTCTTAAGTTGAACTTATCTCTAAGTTGGACTTAAAACTTATGGAAAGCCGCTATCATCCTTGAAAATATTTTGTAAAAGTTATTTTAAAAGGCATAAAAAGTTGATTCAAATCATCCATATTTTCTATTATCATGGGAGATTTCATGTTCTTGATGTAGAACTTATGAAAAGTCTAAAATACTTTAGTTTTTGCTTTTGAATATATTTCATTATAAGGCTACAAATGGCTCTCCATATTATTTAAGTTCAACTTAGAGTTAAGTTATACTTATAATCTTTTTGAAACACCCCCCAGTTTATACTTAACACATGATACAAATGACCTCAATATCCACAAAGCTTGTAGACATAAAGAAGTCCTGTTGTCCTATTGAGAAAAATTACTTCAAGATTTATAGAGCTGCTACTTCAAAAGCTTGTTTCCATTTAGTTACTTCATGCAACTGTCCGTCACAGAATGCGCTATAGTGACATACGAATGAAGGGATGGTGGGTATATTGTTCGTGCAGGATTGTAATTACATTAGATTTGAAAGACGTGTAATCAGTAATTTAATATTTAAATAGTGAATGGCCATGAGTGCAATGGTACAAGATTTTGCACGAGGTGAAAGATAAGAGACGCTATATTCAACGAGGCACAGCAAAATCACTGAATGCAAAATCTTGTTTCATTGCACAAATAAAGACCATTCACTATTTGTTTTATACAATACCTCGGACGTTAATGGGCTTAAAACAGTTTTCCTGGGCCTAAATCTCAGCGATATTTTGTTTGTTTGTTTTTAATTGATAAAATTGCCGATAGTGAGCGCGCACTATTTAGTAGGCAGCAAACCATGCGCATATCATGGGCCGAGCGTACCAAGCTTTATGTTTATTGGGACGCGGAGTGCAATTTTGTTAGATCCATTGGTACCATTGCACGGCGACGTCACTTACCTCACCATATACTTTGTACATCATTAGTGACGTCAGCGTGCAATGGTGCGAAAGGATCAAACGGAATTGCATGGCTGGAGAATGATGCCGTTCAACAGTACTTATAGCGCATGTCATGTGATCAAGAATTGACCAATGAGGTTGCAAGAATCTTAGTAGGCGTTGTACAAAGAGTTCTATGACATATCCAAACTTATTTAGCTGTGTGACAGTTTCAGACGCCTATTTCAGACAACTCCTGGCCAACTGAAATTAGCTGCCAGTCTGAGAAAGGTGTCTGAAATTAGACACCACAACTGTCACACAGGTAAATAATTTTGGATGTGTCACAGAAGTCTGTAATCTCCTTATCCTCCAAAACACCCTGATGAAATTGTCTAACAATTCAGTGAAATCGGTAATTTTGAAAACTGGTACCGTAATGCTAGGAGTCCACTGGGCCAGCGCCAGTTGGTGCCAGCTTGCGCCAATGAAATTTACTGTGGCACCTAGTGTCGCCAATAAGGTGCCTAGTGGCGTGTAGTGGCTCAAACTGCCTCCCAACTGGCTCGTGGTGGCCCGTAACGGCACCAAATTTGAATGTGGCGGCAAGAAAATTTCAAAATATTTGAAAATTTCGTCGCGCCACTTGCATCGAGCAATCAGCGCCAAGTGTCCGCCAAGTGGCACCAAATGGCGCGAACATATCGCCCTTTGGCGCAAACAATCTGCCTATTGGAATCCACTGGAATGTAATGGCGCCACTTGGCGCCAAGTGGCACCTTGTTTACTCATCATCATCATCATCTTCTGATGGAGCAGCATCATCACTCCAACATTATCAAAAGCCTCAGACATATCAAAATTGTAAATATTTAGTAGAGATGTTGTTCATACGGCAGCTGAGGAGGGTCTGAACCAGGTAGCCGATGGCCGGTATTTATATAGTCGGCAAGTAGCGCCAAGCGGCGGCAAGTTCAAACCAATTTGGCGACCTTTGGCACAAACTAATCACCAAGTGGCGCAAAGTAGCCGTCTATTGGCGCGAATGGCGCCAACAGGGTGAATTTTGGAATCAAATGGCCGTGTTATGGCACGAACTGGCGCAAACTGGCGCAACATTTTGGAGCAAGCCGGGTGGCGTTTGCCACATGCCATATGGCACCCAGTTTATTCCACTTGGCGACACATGCCGAGCAGACATTAATTCGGCGCCACAGCGAGCCACTAAACGCCAATCACATAATCTTTGGCGCGAACTGGCACCAACTGGCGCTGGCCCAGTGGACTCCTAGCATAAATCTCTGTGTATATGGCTCTGCTCCTCAATACCTTATCTCTCTAATCCAAAACTACACTCCTGCAAGACCTCTACGCTCATCCACTTCCAATTTTCTTGTGACCCCCAAAATTACCAAAACGTGGGGGGAAAGATCATTTGCATACTCTAGTCCTAAATTATGGAATGGCCTTCCTGAAGACATCAAAAAATGTTTATCCTCTGATTCTTTCAAAACTCATCTCAAAACATTTCTTTTCAAGTCTTGATCTTTTTTCCTGTTTACACGCGCCTTGAGCACTCCACAGAGTGGATTTGGCGCGATATAAGTTACATTATTATTATTATTATTATTATTATTATAAGGCGCACTTTTTTGCCGCCGAAAAAAATTGAAAGTCAGGGGTGCGTCTTATACACAGGTTTTTTCCTCCTCCACCTAGCGCTATGCCTGGCAATATCTCCCATCTCAGTAATCAGTGTGTAGACTCACCACTCTTTCTAATAGATCTCAATATGTAGTTTATAATAATAATTCCTCAAATTTTTCTTCTATTACACGGCGTACCACAAGGTTCTATCCTAGGTACAGTACTCTACTGTTTTTAATTAACATCATACATGCCAACTGTTCAGGTTAAAGAGGAACATTCCTCTTTTTGGGAGAAGATAATTATCATTTAAATGCAGGTGTTCCTCTTCCTGTACAAATTTGTCTGTAGTATTGAATAGGAGAGTTAGGATTGTTCCTCTTTTTTTTTTAAATAGCATAATTTGTACAGATTTCTGATTTTCAAATGTTGGCATGTATGTAACATTAATGATCTTACACATTCTTCTAAAAACAACATTGTTACCATTATTTGTGACAAGTTCACAAGCACAAATCGGTGCCTTCAACTGCACCTCGATGTTAAATGAAAGTCCTTTCCCACGTGGGTTTTCGGCAACAAAAAATAGGGGTGCGCCGTATACACAGATGCGTCTTATACACAGAGATTTATGGTAGTTATTTTTTGTATTATGAATTCTATTAATTCTCCCTCTATGATGTGTTTCATCCTATAGGAAGCAAAGACAACACTTGTAGGATCTGGCGCTGAGACCCTGGATGCTCTCCTCTCTCTCTCTCACCTCATGATCCTAACAACCATCCTCTTTCTCCATCTATGGCCTACGTAGACCAAGATAGAAAGATAATTTTGTCTTGCTCGTCACATGGTGAATATGTGAAGTAGTATCAAGCCTGGGGGGTGTTTCACAAAGATCCTAAGTTGAGCTTATCTCTAAGTTGGACTTTAAATTATGGAAAGCCGTTAGCATCATTGAAAATATTTTGTAAAAGTTATTTAAAAGACATTAAATGTTGATTTAAAACATTTATGTTTTCTGTTATCAACAAGATTTCAATGTTCTTGATGTGGAATTTTTGAAAAGTCTAAAATACTTGGAATTGTTGATTTTGATTACCGGTACATTTTATTTTAAGGCTACAAATGGCTCTCCATAATATTTAAGTCCAAATTTAAGTTAAGTTCGACTTAGGATCTTTGTGAAACACCCCCCCCCCCCCCCCCCCCCCCGAATTGTTTGTGAAATTAGCGAGTTGTCCAAATTCACACGTGATTCATCCGAAAGTACATTAGAGAGCAAAGCAACCTTTGAATAAGTGTATTTTGTAAAAGTTTCTTCTCTCAGACTTAAGGATTCAGTAATGATTTAGAAGTTTTAAAAGGTCACAAGTTTTCTGATATTGCAGTAATATAAGGCCATGATGAAGCAATGGTGAGTTGATGATTTATCTGCTGGGAACCAAAATGCGATTTACTCATTTTGGCAGTAGGGCCTAAAAAAGAAAGATTTTGCATTGCCCTCTAGGTCCCAGCACCTGGGTCAATCAGTCATTTTTTTCCTACCTATTTTGGCTGATATTTTAGAGTTTTGAATGCTTTAATACATATTTTTTGATTCATTAAACATTCTTTTAAAAAAGAAACGGTAAAAAAATAAGAAAATAAAAAAGCCGACCGTAGATTTTAAGATTTTGGGTCGGTCGAAAAGGGCAATACAACAAGTTTTTGTTTAAAGCCTAATTATAGTAATATAAAGGGGAAGAATTAAACCAGCAGAGCACCGATAGATTGTCAATATATTGTATCATATTAGATCAAATTTTACTTATCATATACCAGTGCCCTTTTGGCTGTAAGTCAGAACTGTCTAATCCTTTTTTTGCTGATGTGAAGGCATGATGAATAGAAATTAAATTCCTTTAGAATTAACAGAACAAGAGCTACATCTAGACACCTTTGACTTGCGTTTTTCTTTCCAGTTCACATCTAGCTAAAGGCTTACAGGTTCTGAACTTATATTATTCAGTATGTTTTGTTTAAATATTGAAAAAACCCAGCATGAACGTGTTATGATGAGGTCAATAAGCCTGTGGTATAGTGTCAATGCAAGGGTCGTATATTTGCTGAGAAATATTTCTTTCTTATTCCTTTTCAGTAGCAAAATGCAGTGTATGTGTTAGGAGAGAATTAACGGTACTAAAAAATGTTGGCTACCATTAAACTAAATAGTGTAGTCCTTATAAATTCTCATCATTATTGTTTCTGTTATGAGAAAATATGTGAGATATGTAGAAGTACAGTGTAATAATGAAAACATGAATTAGATTTTGAAGGAATAGAAATTTTCAGTTGTAGTGTCTGCTCACTTCAAAATCATGTTCATGTACTGTGTTCTCTTTGTACACGGTGCCGTTAATTTTGTACGATAAAGTGATAGCTGCATTTAATTACACATGCCTTGATAGATCCATCTACTTCCAGTCTTATGTACACAATACTCAATTCTATTCCATCCATTTAATTACTCTTGGATTTCTACTTTGAGTCAGAAATAGTACTTAAATGACTTATATTAATTTTGTTTCTCATTTGAATTCTTCAGTATTCATTTCAAGTGTCTTGCTGCTGTATCAATGGTATTATGTATGTAGCCAATAGTCTGGTTTACTAACAGTTATCCACATTTATGGACGTTTCTTTCCTGGGGATCTAGTGACGAGGTATTCCATTTACCTGTTATTACTGAATGAACAACAATACTCGGAATCCAGTCTGCATACATTACTTGTTGCTATGTCAGGCAAGCCTCTGGCAAGCTTTCAGTATGCATAAAATTGTAATATGTTAGTAGACCGGTCTGTTCTAATACATTTATTTTACCATACTTCATGTTATATTTCTACTCTGTATTAGTATGGAGTGACTGGGCAAGATCAAGATGTGCATGGATATTTCATTTTACATTCAAATTCATCTCTACTTATTTCAAGTGTCTTACTGTCACATAGTCAATTCTATTCCATCCATTTCATGATAATTCATGTTAGATTTCTACATAAGGCAAAACATTGGTTTTGTATGTTTTTCATGTGAATTCTTCAGTACTGAGTTCAAGGGTCTTGCTCCATCAATTATACTACATAGCCGATTGTACTTCAAGTCATATATCTACTTCATATTCATATAGAAATTTTATGAGCAAAACCATATAATGCATGGACATTTTTGTTGTTGATTTCTCTTCTTCAGTATTAGTGCCTTGCTGTATCAATCAGAGAACATTGAAGGTTTTGATCCATTCATATAATTATACTTCATGTTGGATTTCTACTTTGTATTCTTATATAGAAATTTTATTTGGCAAGATCATAGTCTTCATGATGTATGCTAACTTGTTTATCAAGTGTCTTGAATAATCTTTATAAATGGATATACACTGACTGTCTGAATAATGATAAAAAGAAAGTTTTTCATCTGTGTTATTATCATGTGTTAACATTATTGTTGCTAAAAGATAAAGTTGAGTTCTGGTCATCCGATTGCATTGTGAAAGAAAAGATGATCATGTAGCATGTAAGTATTGGTGTGTACTGCAAAGTTCTGGAGTCATCAAAATCATAATAAATTTGGCCCATTCTTCTCGATATATTAACAAGCACTGTACACAGAAAGATGTATATGGGACTACACAAATGGTGTCAGGGCTACTAACCTTGATTTCCTAATCTTTCTATGCTCATTACTCAGCCAGTATACATTTTTTACCAAAATTGTTTGGCAAGTGACATTTATTTGTAATCTTGAACATTCAGTGTAAGTTTCGTTTGATTCTGTGATAATTCATTTTCTTTTTTTTAAACCAGAACTCACCTTTATCTTTAAGATGTAGTGGTTGATCAACGGTGGTTCAATAAACCACAAAGTCAAATTGAGCTAGCTCATTCTGATTTTATAGAAAAAATGTTGTTTATGACAGATGGTCAAATTCCTCTTTTACTTAAAGGTATTACAAAGTGTTGGGAAATTTTGAAAATGGGTGGATAGTGAATCTTTACAAATTTGATATATTTGGATGCCCCTGTGGATGTATTAAAAGCACTAGAAATTCTAACCCCTAAAACACTTCTGCTTTCAAGAAAAATTGAATATAAAGATTTACCGGTGCTCCTGGTAAATTTTCATAAATTTCAAAAAGCTCCTACGGCCGTACAATGGTAGCTGCAACCATGAAAATCTCAGAATATATAGTTGTGGTATAAAATTTCCGAATGGGAATATCTAATCGGTCGATTTTAGTCAATAAACATTGTTTTATAGCTTAATTAATATCTCGACCTTGAGAGGGAGCTATTCGACAAAGTGTTTATTATTTACAATTTCATAAATTTAGAGTCAATTTCGACCGCGACAACGGTCACTGAATATTGTAGGATCGCATATGCTTCCAATATGTTCAATTGAATCAAATTCATGACCCCATACCAAAACTTTGTGTTACCTTTAACGCAGCCAGGGCTTTTTTTCGCTATTTTTGTGACCAAAGTTCTTTTGGAATTTGAATATCTTGTCTACACATACTTGGGATCTTTAATTCAAAGTAGGGTCACTTGTGTTAATTTAGTCAGTTTTCTATATTCAGAAAAATAGAATAACGTAAAAGTCAATTTTAAATGCTTATTTGTGTTGATTTATCCCACTCATTCTCCATATCCATAGCTCCATATCACCCTCTTAAGTCACCATCATTCTGTACCTAAAAAGAATAACCAAAAATCATGTCACCATGAAAATGAATTTTAAATTTTCATCCATTGCATGACAGAATAAAATGAGACCAAAGAAATTCGTAGAATGCAATGTAAAGATATTAACACTTAGCCATAATCTTAAATATAAGGATTAAATTGATGCAGTTTAATGTAAATTTACGCTTTCAACATTTGGGCCAAAATTGGTCGTATGAAATTTCATCTGAATTCTCTCGTAAATATTAGATCACTAATCACCTTGAAATTGATTCACTTTCCATGATATGTTTCCATGCATTGTATTGAGACCATGTATAAAACTATGTATCCACATCAACCTACTGCAATGTGTACTATACTATGCATTTTTAATTTTGTTCTTACAGATGACAAAATAGTAAATGCTTGGCTGTTACTTTTTTCCAATAACAGGGGAAATTAGCAGCATGATCTTCAAACTAAAGAGTTGTCTGTATTGTATCTTTCTTGTATTGCATTATATTTGATTATGATATATTACTAATGTTTCTCACAATGTCAAATGCTTGTGACATGTTTATCAGCCTATTGTATTGATTGGATGATATACCAGTGTTGAGTTTTAGATTAGCCAGCAATTCAAATTCAATTTTAAATTACTTAGACAGTCTGCTTTTACAATCATATCATACACTTATACATTATACAGCATTTTTGTAACCAACACATATTTCAGTGTACAGTAGAATGGACAATATATCGTACTTGCAAATTAGACTACCCTTTATGATATATACTCATACTTTATAAATGTGTATGCAAGCAGAACTTCAAAGCTGTGCCTCGACTAGCAGAGATATTTATAATTTGTGTATTATTTTCTTTAATCTTCATGCCTAGGCTTGATGTTGTGTATGGTTTTATAACACCTGCTCTGGCGACAATTGCTTCATCAATACCCTTCTCCGATTTTTTTTCTTCTCTCTTTTCTTATTTTGTTTTAAATTTCAGACATGGACCAAATCTATACATAACCTTAACCCTTAACCATTAACTTAACACCCTCACCCCCCTCCCCCCCCCCCCAAAAAAAAAAACAACAACAACAACCCCCCAATTGCATCCTGCCCCTAATCCTATATATTTGATGAAATAGATCTTGGTTAAATTGTCGCTGGAGCAAATGTCACCAGAGCAAACGTTGGGCCACCATTGTGTATAGATTGCAAAGGTTTATGATTTGTGTGCTTGAAAAAGAATTTGAAATGTAAGGATTGTACAGCTGGATTGCTTCTAGCATGTATGATCGTATGCCAAGTTGTTATGTAAAGATTGGATTGTATTGGCAGAGAACATTAAATGTTTGACATAAAAATGCAATACTGTTGTTGGCTAATTTCTTGGAAATTGAAAGTCTTACTAAATGGAACAAATCTGAGAATAATGATAGCAAGAGAGAGAGGGTGGGGGAGAAGTGGAAACTCCCCCCCCCCCCTTATAGTACATTAGAAATTATGTATATTATGAGGACACTTTATTTAGAAAACGAGATTTCCTTGTCTGGGCATTTTATAAAAAAAAAAAACGCTATATTTTGACCATGATTTGCCAATCATGAATCCTTGAACATTGACATGATAATCCTTCATGAAGTTTTCTAAACTAAACTGGGGTTGGTTGTGTGTGATACAGTGGTGTAATAAACCAGAAAAATGGGGGGGGGGGGAGAAAAGGTGCATCACCATCACTCTTTTTGCGTGCAGGTCCCACAAGACTTTTTTCAAAGTTGGGGGGGGGGGGAAGGGGTGGGTGCTATCGTATTTACAATCGGGTAACACGTAGCGTAAATGGCGTGGGGTCCAGGAGCAAAATGGACACTTATTCAAAAGGGTACTTATTAGACAAGAAAAGGCACATTTCAATGTTAAAGGAACACTTATCAGAGGTTAAAAGAGGCCCTTCTCGCACCTGAAAAGGAGCACTTGTCAAAGTAAAATAAGCATTTTTCAGATTTGAATAGTGGCATTTTTTTAACAGAGTTGAAAAGGGGGCATTTGTGATAAGAGGGAAAAAGGCACTTTTGGAATACTTAGAAAAAGTGTGTGTGTGTTGGGGGGGTGTATCCCCTTGCCCCCCCCCCCCCCCAGAAGCATGCCCCCTGTTCATATGCAAATGTCTACTTTTTCCCTTTCGTATAAACGCTTTCATTTTGGTGGATTGTATTATCAACTGCAGCTTGTGCAAAATTTAAATAATTTACGTTATTTGCAAAAGAGATATTTAATGCATTGAATCGTTAATTTGATGAAGTCGTTCACTCATTTCCATATATATATATATATATATATATATATATACGCTTTTAGTAAAGTCAATTTTTAATGTCATATATGTTGGGTTGAAATATTTCTGCAAGCATTTTGAAATAAAAGCCTTTTAGATTAATGTGTCATTCGATGGCTTGCTTAAGTGATAGTTTTAAAGGATTAAAGTAAGACAAATTTATTTATTATAATAGAAGCAAAATTTATTCCCGAAGTAAAACCAATTACAAATTACAACTTACAAATTAAGGATAATTCATTACATGAAGTAGCAAGACCATGTTTACATCATTGATTCGAATAGAAATATGTCCCTTTAGTATTGAATTTCTTCCTTTCAGCAAGAATTAATTTTGGACTACTTGACAAAATGTTTATTTCCTTAATTCTTTTATTTGATGGTGACAAGAAAAAAACAATGAAGCTTAAAAAAAGTGTCTTTACTTTTATCATGAACACGCAAACATAATCTTGCTATTACTTCCTAAACCGCATACTATATATTATTATAAAACTACTACAATTTTCTATACTTATTAAAGGTAAAGACCAGTATTGGAAACGCCCCAATTTCAAAAAATGAAATGGAAGCTCTCATTACCAATCATGTGAAAGAATATGTTTTGACTAATACATGATGACAAAAAATTTGCCGGGAAACCGCCTACTAATTCATATATTTGGTAAATTTGTTTCTCTCATGGTCTGTGAGAGATATAGGGTAGTCCCATATACATCTTTCTGTGTATATTGCTTGTAACTTTACGAAGAATGGGCCAAATTTCTTATCATTTTGATGATTCCAGAACCTTGCAGATGCTAGATGTTAGATGATCGACCTTTTCTGATCGATTCCACAACGTTTCTTTCACAATGCAATCGCATGACCATAACTGGTCTTTACCTTTAACACATTAGGGAATATTACTGAATAAATGTGTTGAGATTAATAAAAAATATAATTTCGGTGTATATACCTTATGACTTTTGAATAACCTACATCAGTGCATATTTTCATTGCTAAGGTATTGCTCGATGTAAAGCCTATGGGTGTATATGAGACACGCACTCGCACACATATACCTTTTTAAAATATATTTTTAGTAATTTTTGTTTTATCCCTCCAAATGTAATACAAACAAGAACAACATATAATTGAATAAAATAGAACGTTTTCAATATTTGGATAGTTGAGTTCTGTTTTCAGACTGCAAATGCCTACAAAGTGCATGGTTATTGCTCTTATTCCTATCTATGACATTTCTAGTGACCTTTTAGGACCTAAATTTAATTTTAGACCCAAAATATGTGAAATTTGGCCAGTATCATCATACCAATTCGGCTCCACATTCCAAAATATATGGTGACTGTTAATTAATTAATTAAATGATAATAACAATACATGGGCCAGTTGGTTGTGCGTAATATAACCAAAAAGAAACAGCCAACAAAAAGCCAACATCGGCATTGTCTGAAATACAACGTAGAAGGCGCTATTTTTTTTCTTCAACGGCTGGTTCAAATTTTGAATATTTGTGGTGGTACACAAATATTAGAAACCGCTATATTTATGGATATTTCAGCCGTCTCTGAACCGATTTTGATCAAACAAAGATGATTTTGTCATTTAAATTGTATGTTCTTTCAAATTTGACAATCAGTTTTTCATTATCTCACAAAAATATATTTTGTGTAGCGCCCTCTGCAACAGAACCCAACTACCGGTGTCCCTTTAATTGCTTATACATAAACATACTCGAACTAAAACTCATTTGCATTTTGCAGCATATATAACTGAGCAGCATATTCAACTTAAAGTACATAAACATAATTTATAAGAAAATCTTACATGATATTCAAACTATCTAAAAAAAAAACTTTAACAAATCCGGAGGTTTTTTCACATACCCCCAATGCAAATGCACGGACGTACTCGTACAAGGAGTTCAAATTCAGATTTAGATTCAAATATTTCCCGTATGTATTGAATTAATATGAAACAAACGTCTACATTTCAGTAAATATCAAAAGACTAAAGACTAAAGATACTAAAATATGTATTTGTAGACAAAAATAGCAGACCCAATAACCATCAATATGAATACTCGTAATATAATAATAATATATGCTATCCCTTTTTTTTTTAGATTGACTAAGATTGATAACTCCCATAAAATATGAACAAATAACAAAAAATGATTGATTAATTCTCATGTTAAGTTGTGAAAAACATCATTCAAGTCAACTGACCTTTGACCTTGACTTTAAGACCTGGCATTGGTGTCATATGATTTGTGATACTTGATAACCCTTGGGTACAAGTTACATAGAATTTGAACACTTTTGAAATTATGCTAAAATTCAAAATCTTGATGTTGATGCCACAAAAAAGTCGAGGTTTGCAGACCTGAAATGACACTGGACCTTGACTCCTAAAAGACTAATCACATATTTGGTGATACTTGATAACCCTTATGTTCAAGTTTCATGCAATAGGGATTGTATACTTTTGAAATTATGCCAAAAATTCAAAATCTTAAGGTTGATGCCACAACAAAGTCTAACTTTGCAGACTGAAAATGACCTTTGACTTTGACTCTGTGACCTGAAATTCTCCTCACATGATTGGGAATACTTGATAAACCTTTGGTCCAAGTTTCATTGGATAAGAACTTATACTTTCGAAATTATATTGATGTTGACGCCGCCGCCGTCACCGGAAAAGCGGCGGCTATGTCTCGCTTTTTGCTATGCAGCCGATACAAATGTCACACAGTGTTTACCTGAAATTTGCAAATTTTTACAAATATTTATAATTACGTAATGATTTATCAACGGTTTACAAATTCTTTTTTTAAATGGGTTTTCCTTTTACATAAGGTATATTACGGTAAGAACCGTTTGCATTGAAATCATTCATTCCTTTCATGTAATTTTTCACATACTTGTAAACTTCTGCTAGAACTAACTAAATTATACTTTCAATTGTCAGACGAACATTCTGGAGTAATTCAAAAATATATCTTTGTAGACAAAAATAGCAGACCCAATAACCATCAATATGAATACTCGTAATATAATAATAATATATGCTATCCCCTTTTTTTTTTTTTAACATATGATCAAAGCTAAGCAGGGTATAATAGTATAACAAAGTAGCATACATTTCCTAAAATTAAAACTTTGAAACACCATCCCATTAGGAGGGAAGCTTACCTTTTTTCCCCTGTAGCTACGCCAATTGAGGCTTATATTAAACCTTAAAGTGTACCAATTACCCCTAAAAATCTATAAACAGCTGGAAATAAACCTCAAAAAACAATTACGTAACATTGCGCGCATAGAGCCCAAGGCGGACTTGGGCTTATGACCTTAAAGTGTACAATCACCCCAAAAAAGTAATCTATGAACAGCTGGAAATAAACCTCAAAACACAATTACGTAACATCGCGCGCATCGAGCCCAAGTTGGATTTGGGCTTATAACCTTAAAGTTTACCAATCACCCCAAAAAAGTAATCTATGAACAGCTGGAAATAAACCTAAAAAATTAAGGCTTATAATAACCTTGAAATGTACCAATCACCCAAAACAGTAATCTATGAACAGCTGGAAATAAACCTCAAACTAGATGGAACTTCGACTGCGCGCAGTCGAAAATGATGCCTCCGTCATAAAGCAATTTTACAAACCAAAACAGATGTAATTTTTTAAATTCAAGTTAAATTGTAATCCATTAAAAGGTTCTCAGAATGTCGTGATTACAAGCAATTTCTCATATACATATATGACCCTTTGATCTTTGACCTCATGACCCTAAAATCTACTCAGTTCATTCGCTCTGCAAGATGTCCTGAGTTAAATAGTAATCCATCTGTCAGTTCTAATGAGAATGCGTTCACAAGCTATTTTTGCAAACACAATGAGCCCATGACCTTTGACCTCATGACCCAAGAATCTACTCAGTTCATTGGCTCTGCAAGATACATACATAAGTTTTAAGACCTAAGTTTGGCAGGAATCCATCAATCGGTTCTTGAAATAACGCGATCACAAGCTGTTATTGCATACATAATGAGCCCTGTGACCTTTAACCTATTATACCTCGTGACCCCAAAATCTAATCAGTTCATCGGCACTGCAAGATACATACATGACCAAAGTTTGGCAGGAATCCATCAATCAACCCATCAATCAAAACATAATGCCTCCGGCTACTTCGTAACGGAGGCATACAAACAATTACGTAACATCGCGCTCCGAGCCCAACTCGGACTTGGGCTTATAACCTTCAAGTGCAATCACCCAAAAAAGTAATCTATGAACGGCTGGAAATAAACCTAAAAGATTGAGGCTTATAACCTTAAAGTGTACCAATCACCACAAAAAAGTAATCTATGAACAGCTGGAAATTAACCTAAAAAAATAATTACGTAACATCGCGCACAGAGCCCAAGTTGGATTTGGGCTTTTAACCTTAAAGTGGACCAATCACCTAAAAAAGTAATCTATGAACAGCTGGAAATAAACCTCAAAAAACAATTACATAACATCGCGCGCACAGAGCCGAAGTTGGACTTGGGTTCCGTACGAGCCCTATTTTTTGCATTAATTGATTAGTTCCGTCACAAGTTGCTTTTACCTCCTTGCTAAAAACGCACTTTTTAAATTCATGAATGATATTCTACACGGGTGCAGTTGTGAGTCGTTCAAAGGAGGTGCACTGCACACCATCTTATTCCTTGTTTGTTTGGTCTTATGTTTGACCTTATTTTTGACCTTATGTTTGATCTCATTCTTATTTTTATTATCATATATGCATGATTTATTGAATAAAGAACAGATTTATAATTTGTGTGTTTATTATAAGTTTTAGTTGGTAATTTTTAATCAGACAATGGTGCGCTTAGAAACACCAGTATCAAGCGCCTAATAAATGTCGTGTATTATTATTATCTTTATTAAGTTAGTTGAGAATATATTGTATAGGCCTACACATGTAGTATCATGAGATGGAACTACAAGATACAGAACAACATATCTTTGATGCACTTCAATATCCCATAAATTCCGACTTGGGAGTACTCCCGCGAGTCCCGCCCACATAGCCACGGTAAAGATTGTCATCATGCCGGAAGACATCCCCCGGGCGCCCGGGACCTTGACGTCGTGCCCTCTGGTCTCCCGCTCTTCTAAAGGAGGATAGATGCACATTAGTCTGGGGGTCCCTTTTCCTCTGTGCCTACAAATTGTGAGAAATAATAATAATAACTCATTGTTATGGTCATGATGTTGATATTATTAATACTGTACTATACATCTACTTCTACAACTACTTGTACTATACTGCTGCTACTAATATTACTACTAATACTACCACCACTACTACTACTACTACTACTACTACCAGGGGCGTCGCCAAAGGGGGGGGGGGTGTGGGGGGTGCGACACCCCCCCCCCCCCCCCACCTGTCAGGATATTGTCGGTAAAATTGCGCTGCCGTCGGGAAAAAGAGAAAAGGGGGAGGGAAAAAAAGAGAGGGAAAAAAAGAGAGGGAAAAAAAGAGAGGGAAAAAAAGAGAGGGAAAAAAAGAGAGGGAAAAAAAGAGAGGGAAAAAAAGAGAGGGAAAAAAAGAGAGGGAAAAAAAGAGAGGGAAAGGGAAAGAAAAGAAAAAAAGAAAAGGAAAAGAAAAGAAAGAAAGGAAAGAAAGGAAAGAAAAGAGCAGAAAGAAAGAGAAAAAAGAAGAAGAGGGAGGAGAGGAAAGAAAGGAAAAGAAAGAAAAGGAAGAAAAGGAAAAAAGAAGAAAAAAGAGTGAGAGGGAAACAAAAGAAACGGGGGATGAAAGAGAGGAGAGAGAGGGGAGGTAAGAGTCTGAGAGAGGAGGAGTGGGAGTAAAAGAGAAAAGGGGGTTGTTAGGTGGAGTCGTCTCGTCGAGGGAGCAAGAAAGACACAGGTAAATATGTTGTTGTGTCGGGTCAGCTGTGTCGGTATTCTTGCTCGATCCTCGTGTACTATATCAATGCAGAAGTTTGAAGTCGGTGAGATGTATATTGTCGGTCGGCCGACAAGTTTTTTTCCCTACGAACTGTGACTTCTTATCCGCTGTGAAGACTTCGAGAGTGACTACAATACTTGTATTTTCTCGAAGTTTCACTTTCCTATAATATCAGCTAAAGAAATCAGAGGCCTAAAATTTTCGGGGAAACTAAATTCAAACAAGGTTTAAGAGTCAACAACGGTACGACGAATCGTCTTCCTTTCTTTATATTGTGATGAAACGCCAAAAATTCCGCGCTTCGCGCGGAAGGGGAAACTTCATTTAGACGAGTCGAAAACGGTACAACGAATCGTCTTCTTTCTCTAATAATTTAAGGAAACGTCAAAGCTTCCGCGCTTCGCGCGAGAGGGGGAAACTGAATTCAGACAAAATTAATAGGGCTTATTTAGAGTCGAAAACGGTACAACGAATCGTGTTCTTTCTCTAATAATTTGAGGAAACGTCAAAGCTTTCGCGCTTTGCGCGAGATGGGGAAACTGAATTCAGATGAATAGGGCTTAATAAGAGTCGAAAACGGTACGATGAATCGTCTTCCTTTCTCTATATTGTGATGAAACGCCAAAAATTCCGCGCTTTGCGCGGAAGGGGAAAACTTCATTTAGACGAGTCGAGAACGGTACAACGAATCGTGTTCTTTCTCTAATAATTTGAGGAAACGTCAAAGCTTTCGCGCTTTGCGCGAGATGGGGAAACTGAATTCAGATGAATAGGGCTTAATAAGAGTCGAAAACGGTACGATGAATCGTCTTCCTTTCTCTATATTGTGATGAAACGCCAAAAATTCCGCGCTTCGCGCGGAAGGGGAAAACTTCATTTAGACGAGTCGAGAACGGTACAACGAATCGTGTTCTTTCTCTAATAATTTGAGGAAACGTCAAAGCTTTCGCGCTTTGCGCGAGATGGGGAAACTGAATTCAGATGAATAGGGCTTAATAAGAGTCGAAAACGGTACGATGAATCGTCTTCCTTTCTCTATATTGTGATGAAACGCCAAAAATTCCGCGCTTCGCGCGGAAGGGGAAAACTTCATTTAGACGAGTCGAGAACGGTACAACGAATCGTCTTCTTTCTCTAATAATTTAAGGAAACGTCAAAGCTTCCGCGCTTCGCGCGAGAGGGAGGAAACTGAATTCAGACAAAACTAATAGGGCTTATTTAGAGTCGAAAACGGTACGACGAATCGTGTTCTTTCTCTAATAATATGAGGAAACGTCAAAACTTCCGCGCTTCGCGCGGGAGGGGGAAGCTTCATTCAGATAAGGATTAAGAGTCGAGAACAGTACACCGAATTGTCTGCTTTTAATTCTCATAATTTAATGAAACGTCAAAGCTTCCGCGCTTCGCGCGGGTGGGGGAGAAACTGAATTCAGACAAGGATTAAGAGTCGAGAACAGTACACCGAATCGTCTGCTTTTTCTCATAATTTAATGAAACGTCAAAGCTTCCGCGCTTCGCGCGGGTGGGGGAGAAACTGAATTCAGACAAGGATTAAGAGTCGAAAACAGTACACCGAATCGTCTGCTTTTTCTCATAATTTAATGAAACGTCAAAGCTTCCGCGCTTCGCGCGGGTGGGGGAGAAACTGAATTCAGACAAGGATTAAGAGTCGAAAACAGTACACCGAATCGTCTGCTTTTTCTCATAATTTAATGAAACGTCAAAGCTTCCGCGCTTCGCGCGGGTGGGGGAGAAACTGAATTCAGAAAAGGATAAACAGTCGAGAACGGTACAGCAAATCGTCTTCTTTTTTATAATAATTTAATGAAACGTCAAAGCTTCCGCGCTTCGCGCGGGAGGAGGGGAAAACTTCATTCAGCCAACGATTACCAGTCGAAAACGGTACAATTAATCGTCTTCTTTTCCTAATAATTTAAGGAAACGTCTAAGCTTTCGCGCTTCGCGCGGGAGGCCCATCACTCACACCCCCTAATGAGCGCGCTTTTAAGTGATTCTCTTGCTCACTACCGCCCCTCCCTAAAATAAGATCCTAGCTCCGCGCCTGCATTAAAATATATAGCTATGATGCTGACTAAATTGGAGAAATAATTCTAATATTTATGTCGTCGAGGAAAATGACCATTTTGCGCATATGCAAGTACTATAGATAGTCCATAGGCCCCAGGTTTATAGGGTTGAATTTGTAGATATTGGACATTTAATTTTGTCGGTAATTGGTGGCTGGTTTTGTCGGTAATCGTTGGCCTCTACACCCCCCCACTGAAAAAGGTCTAGCGACGCCCCTGACTACTACTACTACTTCTACTACTACTACTACTACTACTACTACTACTACTACTACTACTGCTACTACTACAACTATCACTGATCCTACTACTATACTACTACTATCAACAGTAATAATATTAGGGACTTTTATATTGAGTGGACGATAATGGCGTGAATTACGGCCACTGATCATGCAAGTCTATGGAAAGCCATTTTAACATGTAGTATTCCTATTTCTTGATATCAAGAAATGATTGTCTGTTGTAAAGCAATGGTATTTCTTGACATCAAGAATTCAATACTTGATATCGAGAAATTATTTTCTGTTGTAAAGCAATGGTAATTCTTGGTATCAAGAAATAGTAATAAATGTTAAAATGGCTTGTCATAGACAAGCATGATCAGTGGACGTTCACGCCGTTCTCGTCCACTCAATCTAAAAGTCCCTAATATGTGTAATCGAAGTAGCTGCAGCAGCAGTAGTAAATATTAGTCGTTGAAATAGTAATAACAAAAACAACAAAAGGAATAAGAATAGCAATGATATACTAAAACATAAGTTATATTAATAATAACAATATAAATAACAACAATCATAATGATAAAAGCTACAAATCTCATTTTATAAATGCGCATCCCAGGGGATGCTCCAGTCTCCAAGAAATATAGTGCTCCGTCCATGCAGGATTAAAGTTCGGTTTATAGTTACCGTAGTGTAGGAAATTGACAACAGTGTAATTGTTGCCCGGGCATTTTGGGGGGCACGGAGATGAAACATAAAGGGGACGAGACTTTCTCGAGAATTTTATGGCTTATTAAAACCCCCCTAAACATTATAATATTGGTTACATTTTTTTGTTTCTGAAGCAAACTGCGCAGAATTCATTAATTGTGATTACTTACGAAATTGTTGTGGGTGATTCTCCTCACAGCAATTATACAGCACAAAAACAGTATAGCCACGAGAACAGACGCTCCTACAGCCACCCCAATTATGCCACCAACACCCAAGAAACCGCCCAGTGAAGTCACCTCTGTGAATAAAATTACCGGTATTGGAAAATATTATCTTTTGAATGTAATATAATAGGGGCACAAGTGCTTTGTGAGCAATAGACCAAAATCTATATTCATCAATAGCTTATCAATAATTTATCAATACATCTACACGAAGTAAACAAGTTAAAAATATTTGCAAACAGTAAACTTCTAAGTAAGCTTATGAAGCCCTGATCACAATACACTCCTTCCAGATACTAGACTCCTCTTTAATTACTACAATTTATGGCCTATATTTTAGGTAATAATTATTTGCTCAATGGCTTATGGTTTACCAATCCCCACCCATTATAAAAGAGGGTTCGTTTTGGACTCCCGTCAGAATACTTCGGACCATTATCAGAGAGAACATTTGAGACAGCCAGGAGAAAACTTCCTTGAGAGAGTAAACTCTCAGACATCAGTCTTTCTCTAGACTTCAACGCATCGGTACATTGTATTTGTATATCTTCATCTTCATCTACATCGTGATAAATGGTATGTTGTACATTCAATTATATTCAACTTGTGTCACCATTCAGATACTCTAGAAAGTATACTTTGTATCATAAAACCAATCCGAGCACATAAAACTAGGAGGAGGAGGATGGGGGGAGGGGAGGGGGGAACTACCGTTTGGAATGAACAAAAATGGTTTTATTTGAATCTTTTGAAAAATATTGTCAACATCAATTTAAACTTATGTTAATAAGTGGTCTTAATCCATCAATTTTTATCCTTTCTGCAAAAACTGGAGTGAAAATCCCATTTTGTATGTTAAATGAATAAATGTGCTTTAAATGTCAAAGTAAAACAACTTTCTTGTCTTGTGAAAATACCATTGTTCCTGCTAAAGTTGTGAATAGTTTGAATAGGTCTTTTGGGGGGAGGGGGGGGGGGAGACATCTACTCTTACTAGAAGGATTTTAACAAGGGTACATTACCCACAGAAACCTCATTCGGATTACGGAATATGTCATCAAAGTGTTCCCACATATCATAAGGTGATGCTAAGGCTACAGCAAGCCGATCGATCGCCTGTCTGATTATCAAGATAGTTATGATTGGAATTAGAAATTTCAAAAACCGTTTTCCCAACGTTTTTTTGAACACTACAGTCTATTGGGAAAAATGAGTCTGATAAAACTGGTCACTCAAAGATTTTTACCTTTTTTAGGCGCTTCATGTTTAATTTTAAGCGCATTTTTTAGGGCTTCAATATATTACACCATCACATGCAGACACTGATAACACGTAGGGCCATGCATCTCAGATTTGTAGAACTGGAAACATTGTTAAACAATGGCTTTCAGTAAGGGAGCTACAGATAGCACACGGTACAAATGACCCCAAATATCCACAGATCTTTTACACATGGAAAAGTTCCACTTTGAGCATCTTAGAATTAACTGCCAAAGTCCTCGATCGATGTGCTTCATGAATACGTTTTGTTTGACTTTTTGAAAAGAATACTTCCACCTGCATATCATAGAATGTACCGTTGGTGCATAAATGAATAATGTTACATAACTTTCATCAGCGCATATCCAGTATTCATTTCTGTGGGTTTTACCATTTTGGTACAAATGACCTTTATCTGCCCATGCGCAGATTGTATCTGTAAACTCTCTTATAGGCTTCATTTAGCTCTTGTACTGCATGTTAAAATTGCTAATCTACCATTCTAAAAATATTTCCACTACGATCCCGCCCCGTCCCCCCCCCCCCCCCCTCCCACTCAGCAGGCGTGCAGGATGCAGTTTTGGATGGGGGGGAGGGGGCGGGGAGGAAAAAATTTGCATCACCACCACTCTTACATGTTACATGCAGGCCCCGCGGGGAACATTTTTCAAAGTGGAGTATTAACGATTAGGCAGAGCGTAGCGTAAATTTGGTTGGGGTCCATGGGCTTTGTCCTGGCGGGGGTCAAGGGATGGAGCCCCCAGAAGCTCAGGGGTTTTAAGCATTTAGTTACGGTCAGATGAGCATCCAGGGGCCCTCCTTAGGGCCCTAGATGGGGTCTAGGGGGGCAAAGCCCTCGGAAGCTCGGAGGTTTTAGGTATCTAATTGCGGTCAGACGAGCATCCCGGGCCCGCCCCGCCTTTGGACCCATGGTGTAGTCTAGAGGGCGAAGCCCTCCGAAGGCTCAGGGGTTTTAAGCATTCAATTACTGTCAGATGATCATATTTTGATACCTACATGTAATTTGTGACACTGGCAGGTCACTCATTCTTTCTTTCTCTTTTTCTTTCTTTTTCTCTGTAACATACTTTTTCAAAATAGTGAGGGGGCTCAAGCCCCAGAGCAAGCCCCAGAGCCCCTCCATTCTGCAGGCCCTGACACGAAGGCTTCTAAATAAGCATTTATTTTGCTTGACTGGGAATTTGTAATTTTCCAACAAAACGCATAAAAAGGAGTATAATTTACATTTTTTTTATGGAAAAAAACCAGGAAAATCATGTAATTTCAGCAATATCTTTAAATCACTGGTATAGAAATAAACATTTGAATTTTATTTTGGGGGCAACTGCCCCCCCCCCCCCCGTATGTATAAGTCAATATGGGCCAGATTTCGAGCATGAAAATCACCCCTTCACCGGAAATTTTGGGAACACAAATGCGGTCCCAGATCCCAGAGTGGAGGAAGGGGGTGGAGGGGGGAGGGAGGGGCAGGCACTTTGAAATGTTGAATTAATTAACTTTTGAGTTTTTAGAGCGTAGGTAATCTTACCGCATACTCTCGCGGGGCCAACCCCTGCAGGTGATCTATCCGTGTAGCCAAAATGACAGGTGCAGGTGTAGGATCCAACCATGTTGGTACAATTGGCATTCTCCGAGCAGTCATTGGTAGTCGTACTTGCACATTCATTGATGTCTAAAGAAGTACAGGAATAAATTATTGACGTTCAAGTTCATATTCATTTATTTTCCCACAACAATAAAGAATATGTATAAATAAATAGCTTTTTACGCCACATTGGTGTAAAATAGCATGAAACATGAGGACAAATAGATAACAGTGGTGTCGACTTATTAAGCGTTTGGTTTCTATAACTGCTTTTTAGAGGAATCCATAACCAAGCCATCGGATGCCTACATATATACGTTAAATAATAATTATAATAATAGTGGGTTCTTGTATAGCGCTCATGTCAGTCAGATTTGACCCTCCTGGCGCTCCCGATTATTACCCTGGCTTTAGCACGGCTGCCATACGGCGTTCTAGCATTTCAAGGAATAAATTCCTACCAGGTACCCATTTACTTCACCTGGGTGGAGTGTGGCAAATGTAGATCAATGTCTTGCCAACGGACATTAGTGCGGCGGCGGGACTCGAACCGCGGACCTTGTGATCGACAGTCCGGCGACGTATCCACTCGACCACAACACCTCTACGTTCTCCACTCCTTGGGGAATTTTCAATGAATATTCAGGCGCCTTATTAGAGATAACTAGTCAACTACAAAGACTTTAGCATCCTATCGCTTACCGGCTACCAATGTATATTTTTTTTAATGGATGGAGTTGAGAAAATGCCTACTTAAAGATTCAAGTGCCATGCCGGGGTTCGAACGCACAACCTTCGCATCTCCAGTCAAACGTTTCTACCACTCGGCCACGACACCTCTATTTGCAGGTCATCCGACACTTTGTCCGGCGACAATTGCTACAGGCTTAATTTCTTTCATCAAAAGTATAGGTTTGGGTTTCAATTGGGTTTTAGGTTAGGTATATTAGGGCTATGCTTAGGTTTAGTTACAATGTCGTATACACGGTGGGCCAACTGTCGCAATTAAGCAGCATTCTTCTTACTCCCTTATTGCCAATAATAATAACAATTATAGTACAGACATTTACAATGTGTATACAAAAATATAATAAACTGTTGTATATTCCCATTTTTAAAGTTATAGTCTGTGTGATCTTGAGTTATATGTCATTTCCAAGATTAGCTAAGATTCTTTCTAAGGATATCTTATTTATGACTCTGCTGATGACTGAGCAGAAGAGAAAAACTTGTCAAAAATTCTCTTGTACCAATTTGAGCAATGAAAGTGGGTCAAAAGCCCTCACACATTGTTATTTCATTTCGAAAACAATCGTTTTCTTCCCATTGATTTTGAGCCTTGGAATAGAAAAGGTAATAATGTAAACCCAGAGTCAAGAAAGGACCCATTTCCAAGCAAAACTTATGATATTATATTTTTTATGACAAAACAACCTTAGTTTCTCTGGCAAATCTTGTTTAAGATAAGCCTTGTCAATAAATCATTCAAAAAAGACAAAGTTTACTCGGGATGCTATCTCTTTTTATGAAAATCTACTGTCTTTATCTTTGGTAGTTATCATCATGGCCATCTTATTCTTGGATTCCTGGATCAATGAGGTATGTAAGTAAAACTCTTTAAAGTAAACTTCTTTTAAAAGGATTGGAAGACAAAAGTAACAGACCTGCCAACCTCTGGAGTTCAAAAACTGTATTCTTTAATCCCAAAAGTTGTATTTTACTGACAAAAGTTGTATTCTTAAAAATAAACACGGACAGTTACGCGGATCAATGCCTCTTACAGTTCCTACATACAGCAAGAAATTTTTGTATGGATCATTGGTTGAATATGCATGATTTCGTCAAGACTGGTGTGTTCTATGAACCAATAAACATCCCCAAATTGCCAATGTGAGATGCTTGTAGGATACTTTACAGGACAGAATGGGGATTTTGCTATTGAAAATGGCACACACATACACAAAATAAAATTTAAAAAAAATAAAAAAAATCGTATTTTATCGAGGAAAATCGTACTGTCGTATTTGCTTCTAAAAATCGTACGAAATACGACTAAATAGTACTGCTTGGCAGGTCTGAAGTAACATGTGCATATGTCCTAACCCACATTTGGTGCATATCAGCCAAAACTTGGTAAAATGATATATGACAGCACTTTTTAAAAACCCTGGGGGCAAGACATCCGTGGCAAAACAGTTATGAATAGGGACAAAAAACAAATAATTTTTTTTCGATGAAATAGATTTCAAGGTCACATTGATCTGGACTTTTATTATAGGCTAACAAAGTCTGCTGTAAATGCTTACCCGCGATGACAGTGTCGTCGGGAGCAAAGGATATGGTCGTTGGTCCTGCGGTAGCCGACCCCTCTTGAATAGCACTATCTATATCTTGTTGAAGTTGGGCCATCGTTGTAGACGGTTCGGTGATGGCTTCAGCTACGAATATCAGACTCCCTCTCTGAATTTCAATAACCGTAACTCCATAAATCGTATCAGTGTTTTGCATCATCTGTATAAGCACGCAAATAGGAAAGTGTGATTGTAGAATCTTCGATAAGGTTTTGCATTAGCAGATCTTGGCATTAACTATATCATGCATACATTCTAAAGAATAAAATGTCAAATCATATTTAGAAAGGGCTGAGGAGTGACCTTTATTTCTAAATGTTGAACCTCATTTTGTGTATTGCTGGAAACACTATAGAAGCTGCATCCAGCATAATAAAGGGTTGAATCTACCTTTTTGAAAACATTGTCTTTGAATTTTAGTGATTAGCGCAAAGGCTTGTTCAGATATGGCAAAGTAAACACTGCGAAAACCCATTGCATTCATTTTACCTGTAAATGAAAGCTGTTTTACAGAGATACAGAAAAGTCAAGTGTATTATACTTTACGTCCTCATGTCGATCTGAACAAGCCTTAAAGCAGGAGAATGGATGAGAAAGAGAGAAAGAGAGAGATCGGTACACGGATCAGAATTCAGACCTACCACGATAATGAAATTATTAGCCTCTGCTTGGAATTCAGGAGAATTTGGGTCACTCAGGGCATCAGTGTATTCGTAATCAATACCGTTGAGCGTTAGGGCTCGCACTGAAATGCTGAATTTGTTTGCCTCTGTCAACATAAAACAAACAAATAAACAATCAAAAAAGAAAAAACATGATTAAAAACGATTGCACAAAATATCAAACTAAGTCATCCTTTTTAATCTTTTTCCTCATCATTTGAAACAGTGCAATGGCATATCACACAATCTGAACATGAAGGCAGTCAATATGATAGGTGTTGAAATGGCCCTTAAGTTGATCGATTTAGGAAGTAACGAATTAAGTTTTTTCGTTTACTCTAGTTCATTATTCCTATTTCTGATTTTATGATCTGGTTGAATCCATGACAATTGCTTCGTGACATTTGCTTGGCGACATATGCTCCGTTGTCAAATGCTCCTCCGACAGTTACTCTGCCGACAGTTGCTCCGACGACGATTACTCCTCCGATATTTGATCCTACGACACTTGCTCTGCCGGCAATTGCTCCACCGACAATTTCTCCGCCGACAATTGCTCTGCACGAGGCGATAAATGCTCTGGTTACAAATGCTCCCCAAACAACACTTGCTCCTAGCTCAGAAAGTTGCTCCTCTAACAATTGCTCCGACGACATTTGGTTCCCCCCAAAAAAAATTGTCCCGTGGAAGACAAATGAATTTTTGGATCAGAGAGCAATTTTATTGTCTTTAACGTTGTACTTTTGCGGAGGAGCAATTGTCGTAGTAGCATTTGTATTTTACGGGGCGGAGCAAATGTTGGCGGAGTAAGTGTCATTTGAGGAACATTGTCACCGGTGTATTTATCTCATCATACGGAGAAATTGTAGAAGTAGTAGAAGTGGTGGTTATTTTACCTGACTGCTAAGAAAGCATAAATGCTTGTTAATTAGAGTCGTAGGAGCAAATATCGGCGGAGCAATTGTCGTCGGAGCAACCGTCGACAAAGCGATTGTCGGTGGAGTATTTGACGTCGGAGCCAATGTCGCGGATCAAATGTAGCCGAGCAATTGTCGTTTTTTGCAGAGCATTTGTCACCAGAGCATTTGTCACCGGAGCATGTGTCGGGTTACTGATCTGGGTCCCGTTGTATAAAACTTGTCATTGATGGTAACTTTACCCATTAATATGAACTTCAATAGAAACATTGATTGGATTGGCTGTTCAATGATGTTGCCATGGTAGTAAATGTCGATTTGTGCACTCTCGCAAACAATGCCTCCTGTTCATCTAAGCGTGAACACATACCACACAAAAATGGTACCAAATGATTCGGGATAAAACACTCTTTCATAAGATGTATAATAATTTACTGTTCATAGATGATTTTTAAAATAATTAGCAATTTTCTAGGTGTAAACTTTTTTTTGACTCACACGGTATAGAGCGGAAATGTTTGGCTTGTTAGTTTCAGGTTCAAGAGGGCAACACAATAACATGTATATGAGTTACAAAATTGTTCAAATGAACTAACTACAATGTTAAGCAAATGGCAGTTTTTTATAATATGAATAGAGTGTATATCAAATATAGTGTATTAGGTCATATTCAGCAGACAGTTATAAATTTAACTTGATGAATTTTAATTTCGCAGTCAAAGATCGAATATTAAATTCTTATAAATTGTGCTATTGCAAGAAATATAATCCTATGTTCAAGTCGGAATGTTTTGCCTCTCATGCAATGAGTGATCTTCAGATTTTAGAATTCAACACAGTAGATATGCAGGCTTTCATATACCCACCTACCATACACCCCACTCAATCCATATATATATATATGTATATCGTATATATATATATTTGTTAAATCGCACTATTATCTGTCATGATTTGACGCTCATGGCTTTTAGACATTATTACCACGGTCATTGCCAATCCGCCAAAGTTACTAGCAAAGAAGCATATCAGGTACCCTTTTACACCTAAATGGAGAGTGGCACAATTGACATCCTTCTAAAGGACATGATAGTGCCAGCCTGGGATTTGAACTCTGTACCTTGCAATCCACATGCTCGGTCACTTATCAACTAGACCACAACAGCTCTACAAAATGTAAAAATAAATATGAAATATCGAAAATAAAAACTCAATAAAAACCTGTGCAAACATCATTCAGTCGGATGAAGGCAGGCCTGCACCGGCATTCATTCTCCACACACGTCTCTGTGTTCCCGCAGGATATAAGCTGGCTAGTGGAGCATCCCAGAGGAGCTATGTCAAAGAGAATGTTAGGTCACAAAAAATGTATTCATTTTTTCTTTAAAAAATAGTGCAGCATGCATGAATAAAGAGTACGCAGACCAGCTCATTATGTGCCACACATAAAAATATCATAGCTACTACTACAACTTATGATTAATAATAGCAGTGGAGTCCATTCCTTCCAGGTATTCATTTACCTTATCTGGCTGGAGTGTGACAAAATATGTAGATTAATGTCTTGCCAAAACAAAAATAGTGCTGTGACATATAGTGCCACATTGGTTTCCTACATAATGCTTATAGATTCGTGAAATATAGGAGTAGCTTAATGATGGTCATTAAAGACAGGAGATGGGTCATTACGTGACGTAGCGTCTACAAACTGGGTCGTTCCTATTTTTATTTATTTGTAATTTTATTTATAAAGGGTAGCCTTGTCAGTTACAAAACCGCCTTCTACAATTGCCCTATAGGTCTTGATTATTAAGTACATACAATATGGTTAAAGATTGCGATTATAGAAATATTAATTGCTATGTTATATATATATAAATGAACTAAATAATGAGTTTGTAGTGACTTGACCTTTGGAGAACTTTGCATTTGTAAATATTATTGTCTTGTCTTTATTGTGTGGCTTGAAGTCTAGCCTTTTATTCCATTGTCACTCATTTCTTTAGTGACACCTGTTGCATTACTAGAGTGCCACAAATACTTACTCTGGCAAGCACATTCCATACCCTATGGGTTGGGATGTGCAACCACCTAATGTACTGGTATAGCTTATACTGTACAGGGACATTACACTTGCTTGCTTTATTTGCCACACCTATTTTTATGACTTCTCCTGAGCTGTTCATATAGAGCACACCTATTCTAGAGAGTCGATCGATCAACAGCAAAGCTAATTCAGCTTCATCTTAATTCTTGTCCTATTTCTTCGCTTGTTTCTCTACTCGGTTCTGAGGCCTTATTACTTTATAGAGATTATAAGTTTCTTCTTCTTTACTTAATTCGCGAAGAAGCGTCATTACTTTGTACATGGTCTTACATATTCTTTCTACGGGTGCTGTGCAATATTTGAACTACTACTTGTGATATAATATATGTTCCAAGTATCTGTACTCAACAGGTGTTTCTACGAGACAAGGTAGGAAAGAAATCTATTTCTATTTCTTTTATTTAGGTGATTAAATTCCCTAAACTGGTGACCCCGACGTGATCCAGATTTGTTTTCTTCTGTTGATCTAATCTACCTTGTCATCGTCATTATCATGCCTGATACTGATAGCAACGTATTACCTAGTGAGGCTTCTGAGCCATCCCCTCAAGTCTCATATGTTAGTTTAAAGCTTCCACCATTTTGGGCACATGATCCTGATATTTGGTTTGCTCAGGTTGAGGCTCAGTTTCAAACTAGAGGTGTCTCAGTTGAGTCTACAAAGTTTGCTTATGTTGTCGCCTCATTACAACCAGAGGTAGCTCTAGAGGTGCGCGATATTTTAATTGCCCCTCCCCAAACAGAGCCGTACAAGATACTAAAAGCAGCACTGGTTAAGCGAACTTCCGTCTCTGAGCAAAAGCGTCTGAACAAATTGCTGACGATTGAAGAGTTAGGCGATAGGTCGCCCTCCCAACTCCTTAGGAGAATGCAACAATTATTAGGCTCTAATACTTTGGAAACTAGTATACTTAAGCTATTATTTTTGCAACGCCTGCCAACCAATGTACAGTTGATTCTCGCTTCCACAAGCGATGATGTCAGCTTGGTTGCGCTATAGCGGCATTAGCCGACAAAATTGTTGAAGTTGCTGGTCCGCCTACTATTTCTCATGTCTTACCTAAAGAAGTGCCAGCGCAGACTTACGCTTGCGCTACTCCCAATGACTCTGGTGAAGTACATCGACTTTCTACCCAGGTTGCTCAACTGGCTGCTCAGGTGCAAGCCTTGACTTGTTCTATACAGGAGGACCGCGAGGCCCGAAGAATTCCGGCCCTCGCCAATCAGCTTCCCGTAGCCCGAGTCGGCATCAACAACATGCTGGGGCTGAATATTGGTACCACTGGAAGCATGGCAAACGAGCCCAGAAGTGCATAAGTCCTTGTTCGTACTCAGCAGGACAAAGCCGCCCTGGATATGTCCAGGGAAACGGGCCCGCCAAGGAATAGCGGCGACTAATTCACTTGGCACCATTCAACCCAGTCGCCTTTTCTTTGTTCATGATAAACAATCAGGCACGCGTTTTCTTGTTGATACTGGGGCCGAAGTTAGTATTTTCCCTCATTCCATGTTAGGAAAATCGGCAATGGTAAGTGCAACAAATATCCAACTTCAAGCTGTTAACAAGTCACCCATTAAGACTTTTGGCCAGAGATCTTTCACTCTTGATCTTGGGTTGCGGCGAGTTTTTCGTTGGATTTTTGTTGTCACGGACATACCTACACCTATCTTGGGAGCCGATTTCCTTGATAACTATGGACTATTAGTCGACATCAAACATCGACGGCTGATAGACACCTCCACCACTCTTACAGTACAGGGAGTCGGTACATACACAGGCATCATTAGCCCGGTGTATGTCAAGCAAGATACTTCGGAGCATTAATTTCCACTCCCTTCTTCGTGAGTATCCTGACATCACCCGGCCGCGACTTTGCGTTTTACACCCTGGCCTGGACATTTTCCCGGTAAATAGCAATGAAACTGCTTGAATGAGTCTAGTCTACGCTCCTCGATCGGGCGCGCCAGTTCCAAATCGAATCGTACATGCACAGACGTACGTCGATGCAGCATTTATACACACCGTACGCAGCTGCAATACTGAAGATTAAGGGAGAAGATATAGGATTTCAAGTTCAGAACAACAAGTTAAGAAGCTTGCTGCACGATGGAATTCATCGAGGATGATGACGGAGTGGCAATGCAGACGCCTTTGCGGGTATGAATACTGTAAATCCAGTTTTGAATTGTAGTTATATGAGTACGATTAACTGTAACTGTTAGGCATCCATAGTTAGCAAAACTAAGAGTAAGACTAAGTGAGTCGCTGCACAGTGTCACATTGTCACTGTCACTGTCAGTACTGTCTGTCAGTCAACATTAACAACAGCAATGTCATGTCTATGTTGCTCTTTTTTATTTTTCCTCTTAAGCCACGCCATTATTAGTGATTGTGCGCATGCAGCTATTAAACGTGACGTCACCATATGAAATTGCACCATCCAAGTAACTACTTCGTTTTCAATAATTGTAACGTCACAATAACTTCAAGTAACAACTTGGATTGGGATATGTAAATTCTAGATGTTCGACTTTGTACAGGTAAATGATTATATTAGTGTTACGGTAGGCCTACTGTTTTCTTGAAATTCAAACATTTTTAACTTTTCATGTTAGTTGTGCACCAGCACCACATAAATGCTTGGGAAATTTCATATTTGCACTCGTTTCAAGCTTCAATTGCCAAGATGCAGTTTACAAGTACATGTACTAGTATATTATAAAAAATGGTGAATAAATCACAATATCTCTGTGGAGTATCTAAATAATAATTATAATATTGGATGATCAATTTTCGCGAAATACGTGAAATATTGTTACTCGCTGAAGAAAAATATTTTCACGTATCATCCATTATTATGTGTATTCAGTTCGTTATCTCCAAAGTAAAGTGCGGTGCACGCCTCTGCGCCCATGAATCCGCCTATGTTCAGATCTCTTTTTATCTACATGTGCATGTATTTTCAAATAAAAATTTCTTATAGTCATTTCTTGCATCTAAATCTTAACACACTGTCAAATTATCTGTTCAAATTTCTACTATTGTTTGCTTTCACTTTTACTACATATTTCTTCTTTATATAACTATTTATGCATACACATACTCCTGTATCTTTTGTATTACTTCTCTGACATTGAAGGATTAGATTACCTTCACGAAAAAAAAAAGTATATGAATGTAAAGCAGTAAATAAAGTGCAAATGAATTCATGTAAAACTGGTGTATAATTTCCTTTATATGTTATGTGTCTGTACATTACACTAGACAAAGTGATGAATGGAAAAAGAGAGAAAGAGAGGTCTTATAAACAAATATCATGAATTTAAAATGAGAAAGAGAGAAAGGGAGAGAGAGACAGGGGTCTTAGAAACAAATATGAATTCAAGAAGTGAGAAAGAGAGGGGGTCTTAGAAACAAATATCATGAATTGAGAGCTAGAGAGAGAGAGGTCTTAGAAACAAATATCAAGAAATGAGAAAGAGAGAGGGGGGTCTTAGAAACAAATATGAAGAGAGAGAGAGAGGCCTTAGAAACAAATATGAAGAGGGGGTTAATGAGAGAGAAAGAAAGAGGGGTCTGAGAAATACATACGAGAGAGAGAGTACGTGGGTCGAGAGAGAGAGGTCTTAGAAAACAAATATGAATAGAGATGGGGGGGGCGGGGGAGAAATGGGTCTTAGAAAACAAATATGAAGAGAGATGAGGGGGGGGAGGTCTTAGAAAACAAATATGAAGGGAGAGGGGTCAAGAGAATTAGAGAAATTAGGTCTTAGAAACAAATGACATGAATTTAAAAAATGAAAGACGTGATCCCACAATAATAGAAAATGGTACGAGTGCAATATTTAAATCACAGTTTATGTATTACATTACCATTACACATATTATGTCGAGTGTAGTCTGTGTATGTGTCGATATGTGTACACGTGTGTTAGGGGGGGGGTCCGAATCAGCAAATGGTTTGAAAGTAGGCTACACGTCAAAAATTGAAACCCTGAAGAAGGCGGAATTAAACCACAAAAACCATAATATTATTTGGTTTCTCTCTTTCCTTACTTTGATTAATTCCTTCTCTAATTTCTCTCTTTCTTTCAAGTTAGTTTTTGTTTTCTCTCTCTGCTTATGACATTCTTTGTTTCCTCTCTGTTCTTTAATTATTTATTGTTTTTCTCTATTTCCTTCTGTTGTTATTCGTTGTTTTTCTCTCACTCGTACGTCTCGATACAAAAGTACATGTACCGCGTACCGCGACACTGGACATATAGGACGTACGTTGAGCATTGCAGAAGAGCTACGTGCGCGCGCAATATCTTGTCATGGATAGACTTTTCCCAGTCGGTTCCTTGAAATTTATTGGGAAAAGGTCCAGGCCAGGGTGTAAAACGCAAAGTCGCCACCCGGCCAGTGTACAAGCACTCAGAAGTCAAGCATACAACCACCCACCGTATCCAAACTCGAGGCCCACCTGCTTCAGCTCGCCCTCGTCGGCTTGCTCCAGATCGGCAGCAGATTGCCAAGGCAGAGTTTGAACACATGCTTGAACTCGGCATTATCAGACAATCTGATAGCAACTGGTCAAGTCCCTTGCACATGGTTCCGAAGAAGACACCAGGGGACTGGCGACCTTGTGGAGATTATCGCATGCTTAATGCTCGTACTATTCCTGATAGATACCCTATTCCTCATTTGCAAGATTTCTCTGCGTCACTTAGTGGCAAGACAATCTTTTCCAAGATTGATCTCATCAGGGCATATCATCAGATCCCAGTCGAGCCTAGCGATATCCACAAGACAGCTATAACCACCCCTTTTGGATTATTCGAGTTTGTTAGGATGCCGTTTGGCCTTCGCAATGCAGCTCAGACATTCCAAAGATTGATGGATGATGTCACTCGCGGTCTTCCTTTCGTCTATGTTTATCTAGACGATATTCTTGTAGCTAGTACTACCAAAGACGAACACGAGACACATCTCCGTTTACTCTTTGACCGCCTGCAAGAGTATGGAATCATTCTCAACCCCGCTAAGTGTCAGTTCGGAGTACCTTTACTGTCCTTTCTAGGGCATAAAGTTGACTCGGAAGGAATACAGCCACTTAGTGACAAGGTGAAGATCATCCGTGATTTTCCGATACCTACATCACTTACCAAACTACGAGAGTTCCTCGGGCTGATCAATTTCTACAGACGGTTCATTCCGCGGTGTGCAGAAGTACTCCAGCCTCTCACGGATCTGTTGAAAAATAGATTGAAGAAGAACCAACCAATCATCCTAGGTGAACAAGAACTTTCTGCTTTCAATCAGGCTAAAGATCAGTTAGCTAACGCTGCAGTTTTAGTTCATCCTAGAATTGATGTTCCTCTATGCCTGTTGGTTGATGCATCTGATGTGGGAGTCGGAGGTACTATCCAACAGCTGGTAGATGGTATTTGGCAACCGTTGGCTTTCTTTTCTAAGAGACTACAGCCTGCCGAGACTAAGTACAGCACTTTCGGTCGGGAACTGTTAGCAGCCTACCTCGGTGTAAAGCACTTTCGACATCTACTTGAAGGTCGCACATTTACCATCTACACGGATCACAAACCTCTCACCCATGCTTTGAATTCAAAGCCTGACCGACACTCACCTCGTGAAATCCGCCAGCTTGATTTCATATCCCAATACACATCTGAGATACACCACATAGCAGGAAGGGAGAACACAGCAGCAGACGCTCTCTCCCGTCTGTGTATCGACAGAGTTGATTCATCCTCGGTCATAGATTTTGCAGCCATTGCGAAAGATCAAGAGGATGATAGTGAGGTACAGGACTCCTCGCTTCAGCTTAAGTCTATATCGCTTCCTGGTTCTCTTACTACCATGCTATGTGATGTTTCGACAGGTGTTGCTAGACCCCTTGTTCCAGTCAAACACAGACGAGCTATTTTTGACGCCCTCCACGGACTATCCCATCCTGGGATCAGGGCCACTCAAAAGCTCATCACGGAACGTTTCGTTTGGCCTGGTATTAATCATGATATCAGGAAATGGGCCAGAACATGTCTTGAATGCCAGAGATATGCAAGGTGCATAAACACACAAAAGTTCCACTTGGCACTTTTACCTCACCTGATGCGCGTTTCTCTCATGTGCACATCGATCTTAATTGTAGGCCCACTTCCTACTTCAGGGGTAACACGTACCTTCTTACTTGTGTGGATCGTTACACCAGATGGCCAGAAGCTATACCTATCCCAGATATCACTGCGGATACTGTAGCACGTACTTTTGTGGCCAGATGGGTAGCGGTGTTTGGTGCTCCAACTACTCTTACTACAGACAGGGGTAGACAATTTGAGTCAGCACTCTTCCTTGCTCTCACTAATCTTCTTGGCACTAAACGCATTCGCACAACAGCATACCATCCAGCAGCCAATGGGCTTGTTGAGCGTTTTCACAGGCAACTCAAAGCCTCTCTCAAGGCGCATAACACCGTCCGTTGGACTGAGGTCCTTCCCTTGGTATTGCTGGGTATACGTACAGCTATCAAGTCTGATCTGGGATGTTCCGCAGCAGAACTCGTTTTTGGTACTACGGTCATGCTACCGGCCCAATTTGTGTCTCCTTCACAGACTGACTCTGCTGGCGATCCAGCTAATTACGCCCACAGACTGAAGAGACTGATGCGTGAATTACATCCCACCCCTACTCGCAAACAACGAGCTACCCCTACACAGGTACACCCAGAGTTGCATTCCTCATCCAGTCATCCCACGTCTTTTTGAGGGTTGATGCAGTCAAGGGGCCCCTTCAACCTCCTTACAGGGGGCCTTTTCGAGTCCTTCAACGCTCTGACAAGTTTTTTACTATTGATTACAATGGTAAACGTGAAACTGTCAGTGTTGAGAGACTTAAACCAGCTTTCATGGAGCAATTAAGATCTCCCTGCTCAATCTAAGAAGGGTCAAGATTCACCTATCCAAGTCCCTCGGCAATCCAACTCCGCAGACTTAGCACTAGATCCTGCTCCGTTAGCACTGGATCCTGCTCCGTTAGCACTGGATCCTGCTCCGTTAGCACTGGATCCTGCACCGTTAGCATTGGATCCTGCGCTGAAGCAGAACACTCCTGAGATTCGAAAGACCAGGTCTGGTCGTCAAGTTAGATGGCCAGTGAGGTTCGTGGATTTTTTCGAAGTCGGGTGAAGCATATTAAACTTACTGTGTTTCAACAGTGTTACCATATTTTCGTATTTTCAAGTCAACATGCATGTAGGTCTATATTTCCTCATCGATTTGTTGCTACTTTTCATTCGACAACGAATCTAGAGGGGAGCTACTGTAGTGACTTGACCTTTGGAGAACTTTGCATTTGTAAATATTATTGTCTTGTCTTTATTGTGTGGCTTGAAGTCTAGCCTTTTATTCCATTGTCACTCATTTCTTTAGTGACACCTGTTGCATTACTAGAGTGCCACAAATACTTACTCTGGCAAGCACATTCCATACCCTATGGGTTGGGATGGGCAACCACCTAATGTACTGGTATAGCTTATACTGTACAGGGACATTACACTTGCTTGCTTTATTTGCCACACCTATTTGTATGACTTCTCCTGAGCTGTTCATATAGAGCACACCTATTCTAGAGAGTCGATCGATCAACAGCAAAGCTAATTCAGCTTCATCTTAATTCTTGTCCTATTTCTTCGCTTGTTTCTCTACTCGGTTCTGAGGCCTTATTACTTTATAGAGATTATAAGTTTCTTCTTCTTTACTTAATTCGCGAAGAAGCGTCATTACTTTGTACATGGTCTTACATATTCTTTCTACGGGTGCTGTGCAATATTTGAACTACTACTTGTGATATAATATATGTTCCAAGTATCTGTACTCAACAGGTGTTTCTACGAGACAAGGTAGGAAAGAAATCTATTTCTATTTCTTTTATTTAGGTGATTAAATTCCCTAAAAGTTTAAGGCAAACTAGGAATAGTCTTACAATAATGAAGATGAATTCAAGAATTCTGTTGAAAGTTACAACAAAACTATTAAAAGAATCCCAAAACCAAAAGACAAACAGATAAACAACAGAAATAACAACATGATTTTTTTTTTTAATAGCAACTTATTTTTAGGATTTGATCATATCTCAACGTGTTTTTGTTGATACATATTTATATTTATATCTAAATTTGGGACTTTTTGATTGTTGGGTCTTGAAACATGCCAGAAAATGGATCTATGTCAAACCTGTCTATAGTGACCGTCTTTGTCTTTGTAGACAGGTTCCTTTAGTACGTTTCAATGAGAAACCATTTTCACGGGGGAAACAAATTGGTCATTGTAGACAGGTGGTTACTAAAGCAGGTTTGACTGCATTTGCTGTATAATGTGGCAGATAAAAGGTTAAAAAAAAAGGTCTCACTGGTTCTTTATATATTATTCTATATAATTTTATTTCCCCATATGAAAGAAATTCATCCATGCCGACCTACACTTTGTGGAGTAAATTTCCATCACCTTTTCTATGATCATTTGCATTTGGAAGCAATTTGCTTTCATATTGGATTGTGCGGTCACCTAAAATGCATCGCTGGCATAAAATATATACCTACTATGAAAGAGAACACATCCGTGAAAGTGAAATTGACTCTGGTGAGCCCACCAGAGTCAAATTCTTTCTTACTATATAAGCATGTTTGAAGGAACTCCTTTTTTCTGGTGCTTTCATAGAAAGGAAACATGCATAGATGATAAGAAATTCTCAGTTTAACACATAAAACGCGTATTTCTGATTATTTATCTAAAATGCAAATTAAATCATATCAGACAAATTAAAGTATCTCTCATAGTAGTGTATTTTAAGGAAGTAAATATAAGGGAGTCTTTTGAGAATATATATAAATTTCACGGGTTTCAGTTGGAGACTATAATTATGTTATGTAATAGTGATAGTTTCTTTTCTTGTTCGGAAATCTTTCAGGAGGGACAAATTGTACCTCCTTAGAATGCGCTAAAGGCCTCAAGTTGATTTCATTGATAAGTCTGTGCTATCGTGTTAGAACTAAACCACTTACCCATGACTGATATAACAAAGGTGCATGTTGCTGTGTTCCCACTCGGGTCTTGAGCCGCGTAAGTGACTATGTTCTGACCGACGGGAAACGCATCTCCGCTACGACTTGGGGTCAGGGTCATACTGTTGGAATTATCGGATGCAGTGGGCTCCGCCCAAATCGCCGTGGCCGTTTCTGATCCGAGCTCTGTCGTTAAAGTCTGAGAGCTCGGGCAGTCAGTGATAATCGGGGCTTCATGGTCTGCAAACATAAGGAACACAACATTTTTTTCAACATATGTCACAATTCTCTTTTGTTTAATTTAATTTAGTTTTATTTATTTAATTTGTTTTTAGGGAATAATTAGCTCTAAAATAAGGTATGTTAATAAATTATCATTAGGATTCATTTTACGTGGTATGTTAATAAACCGTCATGCGAGGTTGCAGTCTACATTGAATTGTGCCAGGGTTACTGGTGAGTTGCAGGCGTTTGTGGTCTAATAAGATCTGTACCTTCATTTTAGGGACCACTCGCAAAACGAGGACGTCCTTGGTTCGAGAACCATGTGAAATTGTTAAAAATTTCATATAGGGGGTCGTTTATTTAGGTTCTCTATTTGCATGGAGAAAGTAGGTCCTCGGTTATGCGGTAATTAAATTTCCAGATCTTTCTCGGGTGTTATATTTCTACAGAATCCTGTGTCCTTGAATATGTAATATCTTACTGACGTGTACTGGGTATTATGATCGAGCACTTGATTTACAAAAGAAACGTGTGAGACATATTTTCAAAACTCATCTTGCTGTTACAGATAAGTTTTGAGATAAGTTTGTGAGGTCTTGCATATCCCTGATAGCATCACGAAAGGCTCTCGTACTACTATAACACAGGAATCAGGTGGGGTATCACGACCCCACTTTTGTTTCTCTCGTTAAAACTTTGACAGAGCATTGCAGCTCTTCGCATCTGTACTCTTCATCATCTTACGTAATAGTGTAAACATACTTTTAGGAGTAGTGAAAGTCAAATGGGGGTTTCAATTTTAAACGACGAGTTTTAGTCATGAGGGGCTTTAATGGGTACACTTTAGTATACGTGTGTTCTCAGGTACAATCCTTCCTCAGTGCTTGTATCCTGAATCTCATATTTTTGTAGATAATTATGCATTATCTCATCTTAAGCTTGTACCATTTTCTATCATACTTTTTCAAACAAATACCTCAATGAGCTATACATCAAAGTATTACTTTTTCTTCTTCATAATTACCCCCACCATAATACTAGCACTCTGCCTGTATCCTTGCAGTATGTTCTTCTGTTTCCACTTAATGCTATTTAATGTTATTTTCAATCATTGTTTTGAAGGTATAATTATGACTCTCGTTATTAGTTATCATTTTTCCTGTAGATTATGCACAATTGAAGATCACGTTGCGACGCATGACTGATAAACAATACCATATTTTATCCTTCAATAAGGTATACACACATATGTCCCATTTGGCCCACGTGAAATAAATAGGTACCTGGCAATGCTGGGGTAACAATAATTGCAGGGACCCCAGGAAACATACTGATGATCGAGGCTACAATGAAGACAATATAATATTACAAATACTTACCACTGACAACTATGGCAAACATGCATGTGGCTGTATTTCCTTGAGCATCAACTGACGTGTAAGACAGAGAGGTGATTCCAATTGGAAAGTTGCCTGGATTGGTCCCCTCTCCATTGAATGTCTGTGTAAAGTCATTAGAGTTATCTGTAACACTGGGTTCTACCCAGGAAACCATTGCAAAGTCCTGGTTAAGTTCTGTGCTCACAGACTGTGTGGATGGACACTGATCTATCACAGGCTCTTCGGTGTCTGTAAAGATTAAAATGATATATATTATAATAATTTTTCAAAGAATCATCCGAGAAATGGTCTTAAAAAAGACTGTTGGTTATCTTTCTTAGCTTATAGTTCTAAGGAGAACTATATGGAACCTGTTCGAGAGGATATGTGGTAAGAGCTAGTGGCACGACGTTTCAAACAGGTTGACTATCCGTTGTCAGGAGTGGGAATAGCTGGCGTGTGTGATCTTAAGTCCCCTAGTTGCAAACGTGGGGGTACTATACATGACCGTGTGGGCTTGAGTCACCGGGTACGTGTGGACTTGGGTGAGCTGCTTGTCCCTCTAGGCTGGAGTCTCCGGTTGTGGACTTGGGGGTACTCCGAATCTATGAGTGGGATGGCGTTGTGGTGTGGGCGAGATGCTGTGTGTGCATGTCCCCAACCTGGGCGTTGTTGTGTCGGCGAGATGCTGTGTGTGTCCCTGACTTAGATGGCGTTGTGTGTCGTCGAGACGCTGTGTGTGTACCCGATGTAGGCGGCTTTGTAGTCTGCTGTGCATTGTATCTGTGAGGCTGGCGGCTGATTTGTGGATTCGGCGGGTGGTGGTGGTTGATGTACGGGTGTCTGCGACTGGGGTGTAGCTAGCGCTATTGGTGGTGGAGGAGTGTCCGTGTACTTGCATGTTGATGAGTGGTTTCCAGATGTTGTTGATGTATAAACCTGAGTCTTGGGGCACAGTGTTGTACGTGGCAGTGAATTTCGATGGCTTCTCAGATTCGGCGTGTGTGCCAGTGCTTCGATCGATCATTATGGAGATGAGATGACTGATGTTGTTTGGGCCTGTTTGAGGATGGTGAACTTATTCCAATTGCTGAGTCTGAAGCTGGTTTTGTGCTCCTTGAGTCTTGTTTCCAGATTTCTCCCAGTTTCAACAATGTGTAGACTTTTCCACGTTTGCATTTTGTAGACTCCAGCTTTCTTTTGGTTTGGATTCATGCTTGTCTTTGTGGGTGTGTATATCAATTGGGGTTTGTTGGAGGAATTGTGCCGAACTTGGATGTCTGCTGTTTGAAGGATCCGTTGAATCTTGTGAGAGGCTTGGCCGATACAGGGTAAAACAACAGTTTGTTTCTGGGGTGTATAGCTACGGGTTGGTTCTCTTCATGGCTGGTGTTGGTTACGGGCTTGCTGGCTGGTGTCCTAGCAGGACTTGATCTTATGTCTTGGGTATGTGTTGATGGTAGTTAGAGTTGAGTTGATGGGCTCGGCGTATGAGAGTGTTAAGGACTAATTGCAGTTCAGCTGGATGGTGGAAGGATCTGTAGTGAAGATATCTATCCGTGCATGAGTTTCCTGTAGTTATATAGCTTGGTGAGCAGGCTTGCTGGATGGCAATTTGGTAATGCGGACGTCTAGGAAGGGGATGCTGTTGTTTTGCTATTCCCCACTCCTGACGACGGATAGTCAACCTCTTAGAAACATTGAGCCACTCCTACTACAGAGCCATCCTCTCCAAGCGGCGCTAGCGTTCTCATTAGAACTATAAGCTATAAACCAACAGTCTTTTCAAGACTGCACCAACAGTCCCGTTCAGGACTATACACACACTCAAGAAAGAAAGATTACAAAGAGCCCTAGCTTTTCAGGGTTACTCCCCAATCCTTCCCCTCTCCCCGATGGTGCAACCCCAAGCCTGTCTTTCTACATTACCATGCAAGTCGATACTTATGAGCAGCAATTATAATAGTATTAATATTTAAAATAATAATGATAACAGAATATTTGAAAGCGTGCATGCAATAAAAGAAATACATGTACATTTACAAGATCAACCTACCACTGACTACTATCTCGAACATGCAAGTAGCTCTATTTCCGGCAGCATCAACAGCTGTGTATGAAAGAGAGGTTATTCCCAGTGAAAAGTCGCCTGCATTGGTCCCCTGTCCATTGAATGTCAACGTAACACTATAAGAGTTATCTGACACTGTTGGTTCAGTCCAAGACACTGTAGCGAAATTCTGACCGGGCTGCATGGGAACGGACTTGGACAATGGACAGCCAACTATAACTGGTTCCTCAGTATCTGAAAAGAAAACAATTGCATGAAAACAATTATAATATAAATAATAACATTAACTGTTATGATGATTATGATGATGACTTAAGGTTAATACAATGATAATGATAATAATAATGATAATATCAATGAATTATAATGTATAACGATAAAGTCAATACTACCACTATTAATACTACTACAGCATTTAGATATCACAATGTTAATTTGAAATTTACAACAACAACAAAATATTTTGACGATCAATTAATAGAATTTATTTAGACTTAAAACCAAAATATTCAAAAGCGTGCATGAAATTATGAAATATACATCCACAAGATTCACCTACCACTGACTACTATCTCGAACATGCAAGTAGCTCTATTTCCAGCAGTATCGACAGCTGTGTATGAAAGAGAAGTGATTCCTTGTGTAAAGTTGCCTGGATTGTTCCCCTCTCCATCGAATGTGACGCCAATCTCATCAGACGTATCTGAATTATCTATCACTGTTGGTTCAGTCCAAGACACTGTAGAGAAATTCTGGCCGAGCGCCATGGGTACGAACTGGGAGGATGGACAATCATGTATAGCTGGTTCTTCATTATCTGGAATGAGAGAAAATTAATGATAATGATAATAACATTTCTCATACTTTTATGTTGCTGGTGGCTAGCTAGGTCGGAAAAACCTTGAGCTTGTTCGACCTGGCAATTATTGCAGGCTGATGTATACGGAATGAGCCTTCGCGGGGGAGCTAGACCCGCGATCTTTGGTCTCTCTGGTAGCAGACATGTGCAGGATTTGATGCACACTGACGATGGTCTAGTCCTTAATTTATACTGGGTATCTTGCTCAACAAGCCTAGCTTTTTCTGAGATTCTTTTTTTTCCCCCTCTCAGTTAAATCAAGCAATATAAAATATTTTGTCTTATTCTCTACTTAAATGTACTCTGTAAACTTATTTTATTACACATGCTCATCAGTATTTTGTTACTTGTATAATTCATTTGTTTTATTAAATATAGTACAAAATGTATGGTTTATATATGACATTTTAATTTGTAGATGTTTGAGTGGAAAAATAAAGAAAATAAAATAAATAAAAATCAAAAATTATGTGTACTAAAAAATGAAATTAATGATAATAGTATCGATCATCACATGATGATGATGATGATGATGATGATATTAAAAATATTTATAATGATGGCAGGGGGGGGGGCATTACGTGGCCTCCCCCCCCCCCCCCCCCCTCCTTGATTATTCTGATTGTTCAGGAACACATACAGATGGCGCCCGGCCATGCACTCACTTACTTTTTTCTTTCGAGTCTTGCGCATCTTTTAAAACAATTTTTTGAAAATCGGACGTACAGTTACAAAGTCACGTGACCTTTTGTCTTTGCATGTCAGCCCGAAAATCCCTCATTTTCGTGATTTGTGTACAAAACATATGGAAATGTCATTTTTCATAAAAAGAGATAAAACATTGTTTATTGTGTCTTGTTTAAAGTTTAGGTGTTTGTTTTGGGAGTCAAAATAGTTAAATTGTAGTAAGAAATTAAATAAAAAACAAAAATAATCAAATACACAAGTTAAAAACAATGAAATACATAAGAAATTATCAGAACAAAAGATAACATTAGGAATAACCTTGCTCTTCCTAAATTTTGTTGTCGTAGTATTGTTTCAAATTGTCTAACGGGTACATGTAGTAAAAAAGAATGCTTAAATATAAAGAATATATGGTTTATGGGTAAAAAGGTGAATGTTATGACCTTATTTGCATAAATTACCATAAATATGCACATGAGTGAATTTTTCCAAAAAATTAAATTTACCATAGTATTCTATACACTTCACTTGACATGCGTGCATATTTTCGCGGTGATCGGCCGTTTCACGGCTGAGATCTTAGGGGGGGGGGTATAATGGCCCCAGCCGTATTAAAACCTCAAATAGCCCGGCCTATTTAGGGTTAAGACCAAAATATTCAAAACCGTGCATGATACATAAAATATACATCCACAAGATTCACTTACCACTGACTACTATCTCGAACATGCAAGTAGCTCTATTTCCGGCAGCATCAACAGCTGTGTATGAAAGAGAGGTTATCCCCAGTGAAAAGTCGCCTGCATTAGTCCCCTCTCCATTGAATGTCAACGTAACACTATAAGAGTTATCTGACACTGTTGGTTCAGTCCAAGACACTGTAGCGAAATTCTGACCGGGCTGCATGGGAACCGACTTGGACAATGGACAGCCAACTATAACTGGTTCCTCAGTATCTGTAAAGAAAACAATTGCATAAAAGAAATTATAATATAAATATTAACATATATAATGATAATAATAATAATAATGATAATATCAATGAATTATAATGTATAACGATAAAGTCAATACTACCACTATTAATACTACTACAGCATTTAGATATCACAATGTTAATTTGAAATTTACAACAACAACAAAATATTTTGACGATCGATTAATAGAATTTATTTAGACTTAAGACCAAAATATTCAAAAGCGTGCATGAAACATGAAATAAACATCCACAAGATTCACCTACCACTGACTACTATCTCGAACATGCAAGTAGCTCTATTTCCAGCAGTATCGACAGCTGTGTATGAAAGAGAAGTGATTCCTTGTGTAAAGTTGCCTGGATTGGTTCCCTCTCCATCGAATGTGACGCCAATCTCATCAGACATATCTGAATTATCTATCACTGTTGGTTCAGTCCAAGACACTGTAGAGAAATTCTGGCCGAGCGCCATGGATACGAACTGGGAGGATGGACAATCACGTATAGCTGGTTCTTCATTATCTGGAATGAAAGCAAATTAATGATAATGATAATAACATATACTTTTATGTTGCTGTTTCACTCTTTCATAAGATGTATAATAATTTACTGTTTATAGATGATTTTTAGAATAATTAGCACTTTTCTAGGTGTAAACTTTTTTTTTACTCACACGGTATACATGTATATGTATTTTAAAGTTTCCTTCAGGATGCCAATTTCTTTTATTTATTGTATTAATATATGTACATGTATTTTTAAAATGTCTTGGGCCAAGGAAAATGAGTTCCTACTTCCTAGTTTCTTGTCTCCACCAGGATCCTTTTGATGTAATTTTTTGTTTAAATAAAAAATATTGATCTGAAGATATCTCTTACCTGAAATAAATAAAGTAAACAAATGCATACTTTATTATTTTGATACATTTTATAGCCTCTTTGTCAGAACATACATTGTATATGCAATTACATTGAAAGTTCAGAAAATTTGTGTTGAAATTGAAACAATAGCTTTTTCATGCTGAAGTAACCTGTCAAATTACTTGTAAATTTAATTAAATTCTTTTGAAACTTTGAAACATTTATTTGCAGCATACCAGATTGGGAAGGGGGGGTGCCATTTATTCTGACTGTATCATATATTTAAGACCCTGAAATGTCACTATCAGTATATTACATAAGAGCACACACCCAGACCTTGATTCGAGGTTAACTCCCTGTTTGTATCTTGCTCTCTCCTTATGTACATAGGATTCCCCCTGCTTAGACACAAATCCCTATTCCTCTCTTCTCCCCTCTCTCACTTTCTTGTTTACTCTCTCTTGTGGAATTACCACTGGTAGCATTCCTGATAAGAATGAATTGATGTGTTAGGCCCATTTGGTCAAGTCTTTATCCATCTTGCTGTTGTAGAGAGCAGACATGGGTTTTGAATGGTATTGCAGCTCCTTTGTTTTAGGTAAGAGAAAAACTAATTCCTCACACCTTATAACTAAATGTCCTACTTGTGTATTTATAGGCCAACAGTTAGGCCTACCTCTCTTATACATTTATGAAAGAGAAGTGTAGAGTAATGATTAATGAGATAAAGTATTTATTCTCTTTCTAGTGAGATATCTTTTCATATATTGGGAAGTTTGTTTCTCTATCTATATAGCACATAGTATATTCACTTCATTAAAGTAACATTAGATATAATCTATGTGATAAGGTTATATTCATGTAAATATTCCTGTATCTTGACTGACAAACCCTATCATTTAGGCAACATGAGAGCACAAGAATGCATTTTGTCTGAATACCGAAAACTAGTTTGCTAGCGGATATAACGAAGGGATTGTTCTAGAGATCCTAGTATATGTACATGTATCATTACTTGGTACCCTGGGTTGGTGAATACACTGACAAGAAGGGGGGTGCTATATAGTTATTGTATGAATACCGCTTTATTAGTTTGGATCTTTGTAATATTATGAGTGATTAGAATGATGGAATAATTACCAAAATGGATAATAAATTTCTTCAAAGGCAGAGTATTATACAGTGTAATTACTCACATATTTAATTTCATTATACAGTGTAATTATATAATTTGGAAATCATTTATAATTCATTCATATTGTTGTGTGAAGTTGTAAACCCTGCATACAGGTAACATGCATTATACAGGGTTTGTATTGACTCTAATAAAGAGCTACTTGTTTTAAGTTACATTTTATGTTATATCTTTTCTTTCTGTTCTTTGATATATTAGTGATTTAATTGATTGATATCCCAGATGTAATGAGCTTTTAAATTGCCCTAAGAGTATCACTGTATTCTTCACCAGCTAGCCAACTGAATTGTCCCTGCATGGCCAGCCTGCAGATGTTACCAGGATATTGAAAGGTTGATAAGTTAGATTAATATATATATATATATATATATATGCTTGCCAATAGCTCAACAGGATCATCAAGTTCACCTCTATTATGTAGACACAAATCTGTTCTCAATGCCAACCTGCTGTTAAGCACGCCATTAAACTTGCAGCAATTTTTTCCACGAGATTGTCGACGAACTCGTTGACAAGTTCGCCGACGAACTCGTTGACGAACTCGTTGACGAGCTTGCATATTTGGAGCACGCCAACGAGCTCGCCAACAAGCTTATCGGCCAGTGACGAGGTTGCATATTTGAAGCACGTCAACGAGCTCGCCAACAAGCTCGCCGACGAGCACGCCAACGAGCTCGTAGCTAATTTGCATATTTGGAACGAAACGAGCTCACTGGCGAGTTCGTCTGCGTGCTCGTCGACAAACTCGTTGGAGAGCACGCTGACGGGCTCGCGTGTAAGCGTACTGAAATTTGTATAGGGGAATTACCATAAAAATGCAAATGAGTGAATTTTTCAAAAAAGTACCACAGTATTCTTTACACTTCACTTGACATGCGTGCAAATTTTCCCTTTCACGGCTGAGATCTTAGGGGGGGAGGGGAATAATGGCCCACCCCCCCCCCCCCCCCGGCCGTATGAAAATCTTAAATAGCCCGGCCTTTTTAGGGTTAAGACCAAAATATTCAAAAGCGTGCATGATACATAAAATATACATCCACAAGATTCACTTACCGCTAACTACTATCTCGAACATGCAAGTAGCTCTATTTCCCGCAGTATCTTCAGCTGTGTATAAAATAGAAGTAATTCCTTGTGTAAAGTTGCCTGGATTTGTCCCCTCGGCCTCTCCACCATCGAATGTGACGACGATCTCATCAGACGTATCTGAATTATCTATCACTGTTGGTTCAGTCCAAGACACTGTAGAGAAATTCTGGCCGAGCGCCATGGGTACGAACTGGGAGGATGGACAATCACGTATAGCTGGTTCTTCATTATCTGGAATGAAAGCAAATTAATGATAATGATAATAACATCACTCATACTTTTATGTTGGGCGCTGGTGGCTAGCTAGGTCAGAAAAACCTTGAGCTTGTTCGACCTGGCAATTACGGCAGGCTGATGTATACGGAAGGAAAGAGCCTTGGCGGGGGAGACGGCTGCATGGGGATCTGGCGCGGGCGGGTGAGTTTCTGTGTCTTTGGTCTCTCTGGTAGCAGACATGTGCAGGATTTGATGCACACTGACGATGGTCTAGTACTTGATTTATACTGGGAACCTTGCTCAACAAGCCTAGCTTTTTCTGACATTCTTTTTTTTTTTCCCCTCTCTTATTCTCTACTTAAATGTTCTCTGTAAACTTATTTTAATACCCATACTTCTCAGTATTTTGTTACTTGTATAATTCATTTGTTTTATTAAATATAGTACAAAATGTATGGTTTACATATGTCATTACAATTTGTAGATGTTTGAGTGGAAAATAAATAAAATAAAATGAATTAAAATCAAAAAATTATGTGTACTAAACAATGAAATTAATGATAATAGTATCGATAATCACATGATGATGATGATGATGATATTAATAATATTTATAATGATGGCAAGGAGGGGGGGGGGGGGGGTCATTACGTGGCCTCACCCCCCCCCCCCCCCCCCCCCTCTGCGATTATTCTGATTGTTCAGGAACACATACGGATGGCACCCGGCCGCCTTTTTTCATTCGAGTCTTGTGCATCTTTTAAAACAATTTTTTGAAAATCGGACGTACAGTTACAAAGTCACGTGACCTTTTGTCTTTGCATGTCAGCCCGAAAATTGCTCATTTTCGTGATTTGTGTACAAAACGTATGGAAATGCCATTTTTCATTAAAAAAAAAGATAAAACATTGTTTATTGGGTCTTGTTTAAAGTTTAGGTGTTTGTTCTGGGAGTCAAAATAGTTGAAATTTAGTAAGAAATGAAATTTAAAAAAAAATAATAATCAAATACACAAGTTAAAGAAACAGTGAAATACATAAGAAATTATCAAAACAAGAGATAACATTATAAATAACCTAATTGCTCTTCCAAATTTTCGTTGTTGTATTATTGTTTCAAATGGTCTAACGAGTACATGTAGTAAAAAAGAATGCTTAAATATAAAGAATATATGATTTATGGGTAAAAAGGTGAATGTTATGACCTTATTTGCATAAATTACCATAAAAATGCATATGAGTGAATTTTTCAAAAAAATTAAAAGTACCATAGTATTCTATACACTTCACTTGACATGCGTGCAAATTTTCCCTTTCACGGCTGAGATCTTAGGGGGGGGGGCATAATGCCCCCCCCCGGCCGTATTAAAATCTCAAATAGCCCGGCCTTTTTAGGGTTAAGACCAAAATATTCAAAAGCGTGCATGATACATAAAATATACATCCACAAGATTTACTTACCACTAACTACTATCTCGAACATGCAAGTAGCTCTATTTCCAGCAGTATCTTCAGCTGTGTATGAAAGAGAAGTAATTCCTTGCGTAAAGTTGCCTGGATTGGTCCCCTCTCTATCGAATGTGAAGGTAATCTCATCAGACGTATCTGAATTATCTATCACTGTTGGTTCAGTCCAAGACACCAAAGCAAAATTCTGACCGAGCTCCATGGAAACAGACTGAGAGGATGGACAGCCAAGTATAGCTGGTTCCTCATTATCTGGAATTAAAAATGGAATTTAATGATTAATAATGATCATAACAATTAACATTAATCATTACTCATACTAAAAAATTAAATTAATGATAATAGTATCGATCATCACAATTATTGAATTGATGATTTAGATATTAATATCAATTACATGTACATGTATATCTATAATGATGAAAATGATAATAATGATATAATGATGTAATTTTCATTAATTATTACTAAGAATAATAAAAATGATAACAATAACATTGATGATAATTGATAACAATGAAAATAATAAAAAATAATTCCAGAAGTTTCTATAATATCGAGGATATCAACAAGGTTAAAATTATAAAATTGCAATTTCGTCACAATTAAAATCATCTTAAAATCACGGCATGTCGAGGG